GGCTTGTTGTAGTGCAATAATTGAATGCCTGCTTTGTGTGGAAAAGTGTTTGGTTCCATTCCTTGCATCTTCAGGTAGATCCAAGAACAATTAGAGAATTGCTATCTTCCAGAAGTTAAAATATTGTCGTCAATAAATCAGTGAATATGCTCAGTATAAAATAATAAAAATAATTGATAGTTGATCCTAAAAGCCATCCACCACTGCAATATCTTCACAGTTAGTTTTAAGGCTGCTGGTTTGAAGTATGCCTTGAAACTGTTGAGCAGAATTCTGGAGAGTGTGCGAGCACAGCAGAGCTGAGTATGCAGAGCAGATTTTTGCTCTTCACTAAGGTTTTTGTTTTTTTAAAAAATTAATTTATATGCCGCCCTTCTCCGGAGACTTAGGGCGGCTTACAATGCATTAAGCAATAGCCTTCATACTTTTGTATATTTATACAAAGTCAGTTTATTGCCCCCATAATCTGGGTCCTCATTTTACCTACCTTAGAAAGGATGGAAGGCTGAGTCAAGTTACATGTAGTTCTCAACTTGTGAATGTAATTGGGCTCTGAATTATGGTCTTATTATATTGGGGTTGTGAAATGAGTCAATATGTGATCGGACCCAATTTTATGACATTTTTGTGGCAGTTAAGTGACAGCCACAGTCATCAACTAAATCCATTTTATCCAATGGATAGGGTGTTCTTTTGCCAGAAACCAGAAGTAAATGCCAGAAAACAACAACACAACAAATCATAGTCACATGACCGTGGGATGCTGCAAATGGCTGTAAAGATGAATCAGAGGCAAAGTATCCAAAATGCAATCATGTGACTCTGGCAGTATGACTGTCATAACTTCAAAATCGGATCATAAGTGGCTTTTCGGGGTCTGTCATATCTTTAAACAATTGCTAAGCGATTGGTCGTAAGTCAAAAACTACCTATATTGAAAATGTGTGAAGAGAGAAAGTTTAGTTTAGATTTTTTTTTTTTTACGTAAAGTGTGGGAAATAAATAATATCTTACCCTTTCCTTATGTTTCTGAAGTATATATTAACAGAACAGATGGACTGAAACAGGCAGGTGACTCTGGTGAGGAAGAAGACTGATAATAGAAACTGGATTTTTGCCTTTTTTCCTGATATAAAAAAGACATTATATGGGTACAATAATGGACATTGTACATGTTAGAAAGTGCTAATATCAGTAAAAACAGATGGGCTTGGAACTTTTTTAAAGGCACCGGGTCAGACCATAAATCTAGCTACAAAGGTCATAGAATAATTTACATGGTTTTCTTTATTCCTGTGGAATAATGCTGAAGTATATAACCAATTACATTGGTTAGTTGGGGATTGTTTTGCATTCTATGGGCCAGGAGTTCAGTAATCATTATAGTTTTTATGCCATGTATCTCCAAACACTTTGGTTCCTTTTTTTAAAGTGAGCATTTTCCCATAACGAAATTGAATAGCTTGAATTATAAAATATTCCATTTGAATATGGAGTTGAAGGTTGGTTGCCATATGTAAAAAGAGCAGCATGTATTGGAAATATAGCATTTGTAAGAATAAGTGGAATCTTATGAAGCAGGGAGGGTGCTATGAAAGTACTATACCTCTTTGTTTGTTGAACCTATTTATGAATAAAGTATAAGGAATGTTTGTGGCGATATTAGAGGTGTGTTGTTTTGAGATATGAAGGTACATGTCACTTTGGATGGAGATGATGCCCTTTGCAGCAAACGTTAGATAGGCAGTATGATGCAATAAGACATGGATCTGGAAGGTAATATATTGACGCCCAATATAGTTGTGTTGACAGAGAAAAAAAGTGAGCATTTGAAAGATATAGAAAAAACTGGAAAAAATAGATAAAATAACTAAAGTCATACTTCTTGATAAAATGTTTATTGGAAGAATGAAGAAATTTGAAGAGGTGACTATGTTGATAGGCAGACAGTAGAATCAATGTTTGTCAAGAGAAGCAAAAAGATCGTCTGTATAATTGTGCTTCTATATAACTTTACTATATAACCTGGAGAACTAGACAGGGCGGTAGAAACATTGCTACCGTGTCTTATATTTTTTGAACCCCGAAATAAGCGCTTGGCCTTATTTTGGGGGAGGGCTTATTATTTTGGGGCACGTGGAACAAGATGGGGCTCCTCTTGCCGTCTTACCTGATTTCCAGCTCTGCGTTTAAATATTTTTGGGGAGGGCTTATTTTCAGGGGGAGGCTTATTTTAGCACATGCGCTCAAAAGCCCGATTGGGCTTATTATCAGGGTATGTCTTATTTTCGGGTAAATGTAAATTGAGTACAGTGGTAATGAATTGCTTAAGTATGAATGATACAAAAAGAAGAGATAGGTTGGGAATAAATGTGTGTGAATGAATGTGGTCCAGATAAAATAAATAAATAAATAAAATTATGCTCTAGTGATTCGATCATATAGTGAAAATAAATGAGGATTTTCTCGCAAATAATGAAGGAAGAGTGGATTTATTTATTCAATTTGTATAGCTGCTCCTCTCAACAAATGGTGATGTATTAAATATAAATCAAGTATAAAAATAATTATAACAATAATGAATGAAAATAAATAGCAGCTAAGAAAACATCATACTCCATAATTATGAATACAATGAAAAACTTGCACATACTCGGGGGCTCAGACTCAGTCACAAAGTAAGATCTTTAGGGCCTCATGAAAGGCCTGTAAAGTTCTGATCCCAATCTCCAGAGAGAGGATCCAGAGAGAGGATTCAATAAGATCCCAATCTCCAGAGAGAGGATTTCAATAAGATAGGCTCTGTGGCAGGCAAGAGTCACTTTCAAGTCCTGCCATCCAAAGTTCCTTAGTTGATGGGACCCAAGGAATGCCCATCCTGACGGATTGGATTGGACAAGAAGGAACAACTGGGGAAAGACGGTCCCTCAAATGACCCAGTTCCAACCCAAGAGGGGCTTTAAAGGTGACAAATTACACTTTGAATTGCACCTGGAAGCACACCAACAAACACTGTGCCTCGTGTGCTATTCAGTGCTATTTTTTATTTGTGCTGCTGCATTCTGCACCAGTTGAATTGTCAAGAGGAAGGGAAGACTGGGAAAGCCAAGAGTGGATGTTGAAGGAATTAAAAAAAAGAAGAATTAAGAAAACAAAAGACACTGTATGAATTGATCAGTTGAATGGAAAGATGGCTTACAGGAATAGAAAGCGATAGAGAGTTATGGTTATATATGGAGAGGTATGATGAGTGGTGTTCATGTAGATTGGATTTAGGTAAATTTTCTCTTCTCTTTTGCCTTTAACTTTTTTATCTTATTACTTATAACACTTTTTCTCTGATTTGCATAATATTGCTTATTCCAAAAGGGAATAGCATTATGAATTTATATGAAGCAGTTCAATATCACTTCCTATTTTAAAAAAGTCTCAGATCAGGCTACAATTAAAACATTAGGTTAAAGGAATTAAGATATATATTAAAAAATTTTAAAGGACACAAAAGAAAATAAAGAAAATATATAAGGGGAGTGACATATAACAAGGCCCTTTCTGTGGTGATGTCCCAAATGTGGAACTCTTTTTGTGAAGAAATACATAAGTTATTGGTTCCATTAATATGGTGCTGAACCAATCTTTGATTCAACTTTCATGATTAATTAAAAACTATGATAGCAAATGTGGTTTTGGTTTCACTGGTGCTCATTTTATTACTTTTTTTTACTATCCTTCATGGTATTTTTAGTTTTTAATTTGTTTTGTTACCTTTTAATGGAGGATGGTTACCAAATGAAATGAACAAATAAAATAATAATATAATTGCTTCTCTTCTTTTAAATCCGTGATAAGAAACATCCATCAATTGTGTGTTTCTGTGATCTTTCTCATCATATTGGTATTTTAGTATATAACTATTATTATTTACACCTAAGAATTGGGGCAAATATCTGAAGTTAATGATAACAAATTGTATTTCTTTATTTATTAGTTCTATACCCATCACAGTAAAAAAAGACTCTTAGCAGCAATGAGACAGCCCATATAATACATCAAAATAAAATAAAAAAGATAAAATTGATCTGAACAACACCACACACTTCCAAACCAATAAAAAGTGGAATCACTTCATATCTCAAAGGTTTCCTGAAATAAGACAGTTTATTAAAAATGTCAGAATGCCAACAACACTGATTGAATTTTTAAAAGGAGGCTATTCCTGAGTGCAAAGGCATGATAGATAGAGATGGCATAAATAAAGATGGACCTTTAAGCCAGTTTTGACTCCTGGCAACTTCCTGGACAAGATTTTTAGAAGTTGTTTGCCTTTGCCTTCTTCCTAGGGCTGAAAGGGAGAGGTCCCAAGGTCACGCAGGCCCAAGGTCACACAGCTAGCTAAGGCAGAACTGGGATGGATATATAGATTGGTTGTCTGTTTTTAATCTAAAGGGCCATGGATTTGTGTGCCACAACCTTTAAACAGGCATATGGAAATTTAGATCCACGGCTTATGGATCCACACGGGAAGTAAGGGGGAAGCAAATAACACAATGTAGTGACAGCATCCCACAGTTCAGGGGCTTGCACCAGACACTGGGACACAAGAATTATAATGGAATTATAATTATAATTTGGATTATGGCATTATTGTGCATATGACATTATGCAATTTATTGTGGCTATTTCAGTGTGCTAGGCATTTCTTCCCACCCAGCATTTCTACCTTCTTCTGATACCAGCAGTTGTTTTAAATGGAAGCCACATGTGTGGTTTTCCTTTGCAGGGACTCACTGTAAAAGAAATAAAGATCTCCACCACAAATCTAAATTGTATCTCTATTTATGAATTACTTTTGTACTTTTAAAACATCTCAATTCTTCTGCTTATTGAGATGTGCTTTTGAAAGTGATAAAACTGGCAAAGATTTCAGTGTCACCAGTACCATTTCAGCTGACAAACTCTTGGGCTGAACCTTTTACAATGTACTTTAATCTACATTTCAGGTGGTACGTGTGTCGTTAATCCCACGGATCTCTTTTGCTCAGTTCCCGGTCGCTTATCGTTACTCAGCTCCACTTCCAAATACAAAGTGACCATTGCAGAAGTGAAAAGGCGATTGTCTCCACCAGAATGTCTCAATGCCTCTCTTTTGGGAGGGATTTTGAGAAGGTAAGAAACAAAAAACTAAGTGCATGAGGGCATATAAAGATCAGAAGAGGGAAGAAGAGCATTCATATCCTTGCTTATTGTTTCATTTTATTTATTCTTGTAGAAGTAAAGTTGTTAAGTTGCAAACTAAGAACATGCAACTCTTAAGCAGAGATCATGGATATTTGTAAATAATCAAATAATCGAAAACAAATGCCAACAAAGCTAAAGAGAAGATTGTCTTCACCTTCCTCCACATTTCTTTCCTGATAGAGCAAAATCCAAAAATGGAGGGCGGTGTTTAAGAGAGAAATTGGACAGGCTGGGCCTCAATCTGCCTGCTGGAAGGAGAAAAGCAGCCAATGTCACCCTCTTGACATCCTTGGTGGAAGGTAAGATTTGTTCTAACTGTGATGTTAGACTTTTTGGCTTCTGCTCCTGGACTACACTTACATTTCTGAGTAAAAAAGGTAAAGGTTCCCCTCGCACATATGTGCTAGTTGTTCCTGACGCTAGGGGGCGGTGCTCATCTCCGTTTCAAAGCCAAAGAGCCAGCGCTGTCCAAAGACATCTCCGTGGTCATGTGGCCAAAGGCGCACAGAATGCTGTTACCTTTCCACCAAAGTGGTCCCTATTTTTCTACTTGCATTTTTTACATGCTTTTGACTAGAGATTCAAACCACTGAACTGCCGATCTTTCGATCGACAAGCTCAGCATCTCAGCCACTGAGCCACCACATCCCCTACATTTCGGAGTACTCGGAAACAAATGAGAAGATCTTAAAAATCATTAGACAAAGACTGTAAAATCAGGAATTTAATATAAGTGGCATGATTCCTGAAGATTCCCATGGTAATTCACTTCTAAATTTTATATGAGGTGGAAAAATAATTGGAGAGAGAATGGAGCGGGGGGGGGGGATAGAAAGAGAAATTTTAAAAAATTAATAGAGTCATGCTAATATTTATTGTAAATCCTTAGCAGGATGCACTCAATTACAAAAGTTAATTGACAAAATAATTACTGTGGCACATAAATGTTTTTGTTGACACGTCTACATTTATGGTATTAAGAAATATGTAGGAATAAACCAATGATCAGCCTCCAAAATAGGTCTTAAAACACACACAAAATTAACTCTCAGATTATGTTTTAGCAGTTTAAAGAATATTATCCACTTTTATTAGTGGGATTATCAGTTAACCTATGTATGAGAGAGACTGTTTAGGCACCAATATGTTGTTCTTACAAGAGCAATTGAGAAATAAAAAATTCAAAAATGATGTTTTGTCCTAACAATATGGCTAGCTTTTCTTCCAGTAAAATAGCATGCATTTTTTTTCAGTCCCTCACCACAGCCTCAGTTGGGTAAACTGATAAGAAATAAAGTGTTTGTAAACTAGAAATAATGTATAGCATTTTTGCTGCTTTAGTTTTGCAGGAGGATGAGTAAAGAGTAGAAAAGGGAGCTTGTATTTCTCCATCATTGTTTACATTTTCCTCAAAGAGGACAGGAGAATATGAAATACATCTATGGCTTAGGAGAAAGTGTTTTAATATTTCAGCCTTCTCCACAAATCAGATTATGGCTGATGTGGGCTTTTAGGATTTGATTTTTTAAAAAATTCAGTCCACAACTCCAGAATATTTGTAGGCAACAACAGTCTTTTTCTCTTAGCCTCACTTGATTAACTTAACTAAGCACACTGGGGTTCCATTGTGAATTTCTCCTTCCTCTCAATTCTTGATAATACAGAGATGCTATTTGCATTTTATACTGCAAAGCAAGATAATTTTTCAGGTTATTAACTGGCTTTTCTTGGGGTGATAAAATAGTTTGACTTTTATCCTTTATCTTTATCCATCTGCACAGAATAGATCATATATTGCCATCATCATCCTCTGTAGAACGCTAGCATTTTTCTCCACATCAACTATCTTCAGCAAACTTCTTCAGTTTTTCCTTGGTGTAACAAACCTTTAGCACATTGTTTTTATAACTTTAACTATAAATCAATAGCTACATTCATCTGGGTTGCCAGCCACTACTTCCATTCTGGCACAAAGTGATATGGTGGCTATGCTATGGACAAGTTTTTTTTTTTTAATTTGATTTATATGCCACCCTTCTCCGGAGACTCAGGGTGGCTTACAATGCATTAAGCAATAGCCTTCATACTTTTGTATATTTATACAAAGCCAGCTTATTGCCCCCACAATCTGGGTCCTCATTTTACCTACCTTAGAAAGGATGGAAGGCTGAGTCAACCTTGAGCCTGGTGAGATTTGAACTTACAGTAATTGCAGACAGCTTGATGTTAATAACAGTGCTTTAGTCTGCTGCACCACCAGGCTCAGTACGATGAGCCAGCAAATAGCCATAGCAGCTAGAGGCACATCATATGACTTCCTCCTGGGGAAGATTTATTTTTCTGAGGCCTTCACAATGGTTCATTTGTAGTTCTGCTATAGATAACAATCTCTAGGTCAGTTCCCTATCTAGGCAGGAAATGAGCAATGTGGTGCTGTTTTCCTGAACAACACAAAAGAACAAATTAGTATGATTACAGTGTCAAATACCAGTTTGCCACTCCTCTATTAGGAATATTTCATTCTTTCTAACCAAAGTTGAAGTTTGTGAACTGTGATTGCTGTGAATTTTTGATCCCACATATCCTTTTTCCCTTGGTAAGAACTTTTTGAAAGATAAAAGGTTCAATATACCTCATTTTAAAATTATTGCATTAACACTGCTCTCACCCTCACATCAGAAGCATCAATGCACAGAACAAAAGAAAGGTTCCCTCTTAACACAGGATGCCTACACAAAGCTCTCTTTTAAATCTAGAAATGCCTGTTTACACTTGGGAATTTAGTGAACTTTATTGAGCTGCCTCCTGGTTACACGTAGAGAGGTTTTGCATTGCAGCAGGGATATCCAGCATCAAAATGGTGGATGCAACTGAGTGGTTGATGACCCCCCCCTCCTTTTATGGTGAATCATATGCATTATGGACACAAACATAAAAGAGGCAGGGGTTTGATCACCTAGCTGTATTCACCATTTTGATGCCATTGACTCTATACACAGAACTGAAAATATCCCTGCTTCGATTAAAAATAAGGTACTAATCAGCCATAGAATCTCACGGCTCTGGGGAAGATCTTACTTCCATCTTGGATATTGGAGGTTGTAAGACATCAGGCTAATGGTGTAACCTAAATAAGACATAGACCATCAACAGATATATACCATGTTTTCCTGAAAATAAGACCCTGTCTTATATTTTTTTGAACCTCGAAATAAGCGCTTGGCCTTATTTTCGGGGAGGTCTTATTATTTGGGGGTGCATGGTGCAAGATGGGGCTCCTCTTGCCGCCTTACCTGATTTCCAGCTCTGTGTTTAAATATTATTGGGGAGGGCTTATTTTGGGGGGGAAGCTTATTTTAGCGCATGCGCTCAAAAGCCGATTGGGCTTATTATCAGGGGATGTCTTATTTTCGGGGAAACAGAGTAGAAATAAACCATATTTGTACAGTTTCAAAAGAGGCAATCCAAAATGCTAAGAAGAAGAAAAAAGACCAGAACACATCTTTTCTAGCAACCGACATACAGATAAACAGGGATTAATATTACAAACAGAAAACAATACCCTAATCAAGGAATTGCCAAAGAGAAAACAACACTCCCATCAAAACTAGTAGGGCAAGCTATTGTATATCAAGGGGAAGCAAACCTCACATTCATTCACACCGACTATCTCAGGGGTGTCAAACTCAAGGCCCGCGAGCCGGATTCGGCCCACAGGGTGCTTAGATCTGGCCCATTGGGCCAGCCTGGAAATAGCAAAAGACCAACCCATGGTGTTTCTGCTAGCAAAAATGGTGAGGGGAGCCATGCACAGCCCTCCCAGTGCCTCTTTTTCAGCCTGGACAGCCTCCTGCAGCACCCTGCCGGCCAAAATGGGCCATGGGGAGCACAGGCATCCCCCCATGCCCCACTTTAGCTGGCAGGGTGCTGCAGGAGGCCTTCCAGGGTGCAGAGTGGCTGGCAGAGTGCTGCAGGAGGCATCCGTCCCATCTGCCGTCCGTCCCATCTCCCTCCCTCCCTCCTCCCGGCCAGCCCGCAGAGGACAACTACAATTCTGATCTGGCCCTTGAAGAAATCCAGTTTGACACCCCTGGACTATCTCAAATAATTAGGTAAAGAAACATCTGCAAGCAAGCAAGCTACCAAACAAGTTCAGAAAACACCAAGGAGTCCCAAGTAATACAGTTCAGAAAAGCCCAATTGAAATTCATCTAGATTAATAGTTACAGTAAATTGGCTACTTTAAGACTGGAAAAAATACCATCCTTCAATTGTTCCTCATGCTCTTCTGCAGTAAATAACAATATCATCCAAATATGGTTCATAGCATTTTCCCTGGCCCACAAATATTTGGTATCTGGAGAGTATGTGAAATACAGATACGGTAGTCCTTGTTTAGCAAATTCCTCAAACAGCAACAGTTTGCAATTACAATACACTGGTGATGAAAATATACCTTTGCACCAAATCCTCACATATGTAAGCTTTGCTGCTCTGTAAAGCAAAGGAAAGCTGAAGTTCATATGTGCAGTCATGGATTCACATAGTAACTATTTTGCTTAATGACTAAGTTGTGGCTCCCAGTTGTGATTCCTAAATGAGGACTGCCTGTACAGAAGAAGCTTTCACTTTGGGAGAGTCAATGGAGATTCCCAGTCATCTAGGTTATGGTTGTCCCAAAGGTGTTTTTTCCAAGAGGCAACTGGACTTTCTGGTAGAAAGTCTCTTGACAACCAGAAAGTCCAGTTGCCTCTTGAAAAAAGCATCTTTGATTTTACTTTGGGAGTTTCCTTGAAAGAAATTTGTCAATATCCTTTACTTAAATCCAAAGTAAATAAGTATTTTCCATATATGTTTATTAGATTTTCTATTCTTAGGCCAGGCTAACTATCAAACAGTTGCTTGCTTAAGAAGTCTTAGGTCTACACAAAATTTAACTTCTTTTTTGTCTTAGGAACTAAAACTATGTGTGAAGACCATTTTACTAGTCAAGAACAGATTTTTTTCCCCCTTCTTTCTTCAGGGCATCTGTGTAATATGATATGTAATATGATCTCTGTTTCTGTGCTCTACTAATGTAGTAGTGCCTGGCTTATTTGTAAAAATATCAATGAAGACTTCTTAGATCTGCTTTTTGTTGTGAAGATAAGCTGAATTTTACCTATGTCTCAATGCATTCGGTATGAGTGTATGTGACAAGGAGGTTTACAATTGCTCTGCTGAATAATCCAACCTATGAGCTCACAATTCTAGACTTAGCTGTTTTCTTTCAATCCACCGGTTGACATGACAGGCTGTGGTTTCTTCACCCTCAAGTCTATTTTGCAGTTGGCAGGTTCTGCTTTGTGGATTGCATTTTGCATTCCTGGCAGGCAGCAGAAGCTACACTCTATCTGTGATTTGTTTCTGGCTTTTATATCATACCTGCATTTTGCATATTTGGCAGTCGTTTTGGGTGTTCCTTGTCACCTAGTTTCTGCAGTTTTTCTCCTTGACTGAGAACTTTATTAGGAACTTTATTAGTCCAACTGTCCTTCACCCCATCTATGACTTTTCTTGATTATCTTCCACACAGCATAACTTAAAAGGGCTGCTTCCTGTGGAAAGCCTGTGACTCTTCTCTATATAAGGAAGGCACACGTTCCAGTGTTTGAATCATCCTGGGCAGGTTTCTTTTACATGTTTTTCAGAGTCTGATTTAATCATTCAGTTAATCCATCTGTCTGTGGGTTCTCCTGCCAGATATCCCCAGTGCTATATATAAATGCCTTAGCAAAACAGATTGGAAGTTTGGGGCTTGATCTGTGAAAATCTCATTAGGTACACCCACTCTACTGAACAGTTTAAGCAACTCATTGGCAATGACTTTTGAGGTAACTGCAGAAGGGAATTGCCGCAGGGCATCTCATAGCATAATCAGAAATTACAAGGCTAGGCTGATTTCCTTTGGCTGACTTTGGCAAGGGACCAGCAATGTCCATAGCAATTCTAGAAAATAGAAAGGGGGACAAAAGGATTTTTTTTCCATGGGTGTCTTGTTTTGTCCTTCCTTGGGGGTCTTCCCTAACTCTATAAGAAAAACCCAATTATTCTCTGCAAATCAGAATGTGCTACTCGCTCATCACCATTTTCAACCACTGCCCTCCTACAATTTATCAAAGTAGGGTCCCTTTTCTTGGAGAGGTCTAATATCTACCTCCCATTTGTGCTTTAAAGACTGAATTTTGTGTCTATTCACCTATCAGTCTTTCTTTATGTGGCTGCTTCTCTGGATCAAAGGTGTGGCTAGGATAGCAATACATTGGAAGAGAATTCTGCTCCTCATTGTTTTTCTTGTTCTTGTAATTATTTATTATAAAACTTCTTTCCAGGCATTATAGCCAACATTTATTCTTCTAGTACTTTGGGCTGAATGTACCCTATCATCTTAAGTAAGATTGCAGGCTATTGAAAACAGAATGAGTTTCATGATACATCAGAGGTGTTTCTGATTAAGATATTGAACGAGGAAGTAATTGTTTCTACTTCTCTAGTTGGAGGGTACAAAACTTACATTATAAATCATATTCTCTTTGGGAGGTGATTGAGGGAGGTTCACTCCCTTCTTTCGGCAATTTCCATTAGATCCTTCTCTTAGCTTTTAGCTAGCAGCTTTCATTCCATCCAACTCCAGCACCGGAAGAGCTGAAATGGCAGCAATATTTCAGCTGAGAAGTTAACTCCATTTCTTTCTATTCAGGTGAAACCTCCTAATGTTAAGAACTGCTGCTGATTTTCCTCCTTGCTGTTTATGAATTTTAAAAGGATAAGGAGATGCTGTCTTCTCGTGGGCAGTGATATTCTCGAGTGATTCATCTCAGGCAAAAACCAAGAGTCTTTTTAACTAACCAAGGTTTTAAAAGAGCCTACTTATAAAACATGCTGCTTGTATAATTCACTGGTATTTTGTCTGGTTGCAGGAGAAGCTTTGCATTTGGCCAGGGACTTTGGCTATACGTGTGAAACTGAATTCCCAGCCAAGGCAGTTGGAGAACATCTTGCCAGGCAACACATGGAACAGAAGGAACAGACAGCAAGGAAAAAAATGATCCTAGCGACAAAGTAAGTTATTTAAATGCTACCTTGTTCACATGTGACTCTAGAAGCTAACTGCTTATTTTAACCCTATACTAGGCTTCCAAGCCAAATGGTTTTGAAGTTAGGTGGATTTAACAAGTTAAATACATAAATAATAAAACAATAAAAGCATAGAAGATAATATTTATTTATATTTTGGTACTTTAAGGTATGCACAGACCAGGGGTGAGTCTACTTGCCTTTACTACCAGTTCGCAGTGGGGCCGTGTGCATGTGCTCGCTTTGCTCGTGCGCACGTGCGCACGTGCACTCTTCTGCGCAAGCACAGAAGCTTCTGCGCATGTGCAGTAGCGTTTTGATGACATCGGGGTCGGGTGGAGCCTCCCGCTGGTTTTACTACTGGTTCTATAGAACCGGTGCAAACCGGGGGCAACCCACCACTGGCACAGACCCAGAGGGGATGCTGAGGCCCACAGACATGCACAAAGTAACATTCCTTCATATATATCTTAATATAGTCAAATATGCACCTGTGGTAACTATTCTGACCATAGTTACTAATAAATCCATTTACATTGAACTGATTGAGATTTATTTAGAAAGAACAAGGGATACGCTCTATAAATCATTTCTAATAATATATTGGCAGTCAAAAGAAAACTTTTTGAAAGGTCTATGCGACATTGTCAAATGTAGGATGCCAAATCACTTGGCGGGGTACTTTTCCTTATCTTTAAATTGTAGAAATTATTTCCTTTTCTTTCTCTTGATTTTATTTTCATAGGAAAAAAATACAGTTCCATCCAGCATCATACCTCTACTGCAGTAGTGGTTTCCACTTACCTTTGCTACTGGTTCGGAACTGGGAGTGTGCATGAGTGGGGTGCTTCTGCGCATGCGCAGAGTGTCCATGATGACATCCGGGCAGGTGGGCAGAGCCTCCCACCGCCGCCACTACCGGTTTGCCCGAACTGGGGCGAACCGGTAGAAACCCACCACTACTCTACTATTTTGCTAGGCTAATTGGATGGCAAAGGACAGTTGAGAGAGATTAGACTTTTTTTTCCTCACAAACTTGCTGATAATGCCTAGAAGCATCGACCATCTGATGATTCATAGTCAAGTGATGAATGGATGGTTTTGTGCTCTTATATCATCATTACCCTCTTACAGTTAATTAGAACTTAACCAGAAAGAGTCATCTTTCTTTCTTTCTTTCTTTCTTTCTTTCTTTCTTTCTTTCTTTCTTTCTTTCTTTCTTTCTTTCTTTCTTTCTTGGAAAGTTTTATTTAGAAAAAAAATCTGTAAGTGATGTAAGAATACAGCTTCAGAAAGTTCCCCATAGATATGTCAATTAGGGACTCAAAGCCTACATAATACAAAAGTTTCAAGCTCAAAAATGGGTTGTGCCACCTTTATCATCCTTCTATTAATACTTATTGATCATTCCAAATGTTTTCTGAGCTTGAGCCTTCTTTTTATTCAGAATATTTCTGGAATACTTGAAACAGTTCCAGTAAAATTGGAGAAGTTGGTTTGAACTTTGAGCAAAGTTTTTTGGGATTCTAACATCATTAATATCAGCATGTTAGATGAACAGATTGTAGATTCTGCAGTTATCAAGAACAGTGAGGGACAAACCAGAGAGTTGAGCTGCTGCCACAGTGATTTGCTCTTGCAATGAAACATAGAAATTAAGTATTCTTTATCTATGGAATTCTTATCTTATTATGTAAATTAAGCATTTATCAAACAGTTTAAGAAATACTGGTAAACTGTGCACAGGTATTCTGGATTTAAGAAGGTATTCTTGGGGGGAAAAACTTTCATACTTACTTTCTGTGGTAATATAATAGCAATAGCAATAGCACTTAGACTTATATACCACTTCACAGTGCTTTACAGCCCTATCTAAGCAGTTTACAGTCAACATATTGCCCCCAACAATCTGGGTCCTCATTTTACCAACCTCAGAAGAGTGGAAGGCTGAGTCAATCTTGAGCAGGTGAGATTCGAACTGCCAAACTGTTGGCAGCTGGCAGTCAGCAGAAGTAGCCTGCAGTACTGCATTCTAACCACTGCACCACCATGGCTCTTTTAATCAATAATAATCAATCAAATCACCTTAATCATAGATTTGAATCTAGTCTGATTCACAAGTAAATTCTACTGATAATTCTCAGGCCAATTCTAGAGATTATGAAATTGTTCAGTGAGGATTTACTCAAACAAATATGCCCAGGTCTGCTTCATTCCCCCCCCCACCCCAAATTTGTACCAAGTCATGGAACATAGTAGGATGTATTTGATCTCCTAATTCATCATTTTTTAATAGTACAGTGGACAAAATACATTGGTTGCATTGAATGAAGTCATGCTGTTGGCATATAAACAGAAGACCCAGATAGTTCCATTGACTGCAACAGGCCTTTAAAGTGGTTTCTTCACAACTCTGTAGTTCATTGTAGAATTATAATCTGATTCACAAACCATTCAAGGTATATGACATAATTCAGATTTAAGTGGTTTTATGGGACTATGTAGGGTTTAATTTATAAGAATCCAGTCCAATGTGTTTATCAATCAGGCTGCCTACATTATATTGCACTAGTTCTAAGCATGTGATTATAGGCAAGGACAGCCATGTCCACTAAGGCGTGTCTTTGTATTTCTCCGTGGCCACGACTTGAAACCTGGTGACAAGAAGGAGGTTACTGAAAAGAATACATACAGTATCAAAGGGTTTCATAAAAGTAGCAAGCTTTCTGTTTCCTTTGAAAGGGAAACCTCTTTCCTACTTGATGTGTAACCCCTCTTCAAAGAATCCCCTTTGGCTATATCAGCATGCCACGATCCAAAAAAATCACCAAACTGACTTAAAGTGGCAGAAAACAAGCCTCCCCTTCTATTAGGCCACACGCAGACATTACAATCAGAAGTTCTAAAATGCACAAACATACCAGAGGCAAGCTGGCCTTATTATAAAGGGCTCTGTAGCTTCCCAAAGGAACCATAAAAAAACAATTACGCTGCTGTGACCAAACAGAATCTTAAAACATTTACTAAGACAAAAGCAAGCCAATTGGTGCATCTGCATATGTGGCAGTGTACCCTTTCAAAGCGAGCCTTTCTGCCAAGAGGTACATAGCTTTGCTTAATCTGCTACCTCTGAAAGAAGGCTGACCCACTCTAGTGGTTTTCATTGCAGCTTTTCAGGCTGTACAGTTCGAATAATACAACCTATGTGCATTCTGCTTTCATTTTTAAGGTAGTACCGGGCCTATCTAGCTTGAATTTTTTAATATATAGCTTAAGAGGTAGTAATGAAAAAGGCAAGGAAAGCCCTTTGCCAGGCATCTATGGGATGCCATCCAAATGTGTCCAGGAGAAGCGGTCCAAGAAGTCTTTGTGGCTTCTGACTGAATAATGTTTCAATTTGATGGTGTGGGTGGTGCATTGTGATAGTTTTTATTTTATTTTTTTATTTTATTTTTGGATTTATATACCGCCCTACTCCCGAAGGACTCCGGGTGGTGAACAGCCAAAAAGATAAAACACACAAATTACAAAATTTAAAAGACAATATAAAAAAACCATTAAATAATTTGGCCCAAAACAAATTAAAACACCTCTAATCTTTTAAAACAAATTTAAAATTAACAATTAAAAGGGAAGTTAGGCCAGGCCAGCCTGTTGAAATAAAAAGGTCTTGAGGGCACGGCGGAAGGTGCGTAAATCCAGGATCCTCCGTACCTCCGGGGGGAGCTCATTCCAGATGGCCCCCACAGAGAAGGCTCTCCCCCTGGGGGCTGCCAGTCAACACTGTTTGGCCAACGGCACCCTGAGGAGCCCCTCTCTATGAGCCCCTCTCTATGTGAGCGTACTGGCTGGTGAGAGGCTACTGGTGGCAGAAGGCGGTCCCATAAGTACCCAGGTCCTAAACCATGGAGCGCTCTAAAGGTGGTAACCAAAACCTTGAAGTACACCCGGAAGACCACCAGGAGCCAGTGCAGCTCGCGCAGGAGAGATGTCACATGGGAACACCATGTCGCTCCCATAACCACCTGCGCGGCTGCATTCTGAACCAGTTGGAGCCTCCGGGTGCTCCTCAAGGGGAGCCCCATGTAGAGAGCATTACAGTAGTCCAGGCGGGAGGTGACGAGGGCATGAGTGACCCTGAGTAAGGAGTCCTGATCCAGAAAGGGACGCAACTGGCCAATCAGGCAGACCTGATAGAATAGATGTTAGATGATCTTTTCTGGTGCACCCTACCCAGTAATGTACTATGTATGAATGAAGCTTCTCAAGCCATGAGTCCAACTTGGCTTTTATGTAGCAGGTTCAGGAGCAGGGAGTGGGGGGGATTGGAGAGGAGGCGAGAAAATGAATGCCTACCGAAAAGTGAATGGAGCCAAGATCATGAATGAGCAATGCCATGACCAGAATTAACTTTTTCTTTTAAATTTACACAATTGATATGATTCCTTCCTGCCTCTTTCATAATGTCTGCCTTCTGGCACATTTTTTTAAAAAATGACAAAACTCAGTGGCCACTTTTGGAAAGGTTCAGAGGGATCTGCCAAAAATTTTAAGGATACAAACTCTTTCTTGATAATCTTAACATTTGGGTCATCCAGTATTTTTTTTTTTCTATTGATCACTGACAAAGGAAGAAAGTCAGCTATTCTGCTATGTAAAGAGCATTCATTTGCCTCTAGTGCAATCCATTCTTCTAGTAGAAATTTACATAAAGTGGTAGTAGTTATATATTATATTTGTATAATTGTGCTGAGGGAAGCATGTGTAGTATGAAACTTAAACCATTTATTAAATGAATATGGTAAGTAACCTTAATGAGTATGCATCTATTTTGATTCTAGGCAAATATGTAAAGAATTCCAGGATCTCCTAAGCCAAGACAGGTCACCTTTGGGTTCCTCAAGACCTACTCCAATATTAGATCTGGATATTCAGAGACATTTAACACATTTCAGGTATGACCATCAAAATCTATTGAATGGAATAACTTTATTTAAAAAACAGTTCTGAAGTGTTAAGAGTACTTTCTCTGTGCAGAAGTATTAAATGTGTTGTATATATGGAGATCTTGCCCAAAACCGACGTTTTGGCCCTTCTTGCACATGTCCTCTTCCAAGACAAAGATGAGGAAATGTCAGAATACTCCAGAGACTAGCAATCCAGGAGAAAGCTACATCTTATTGCAAATCTTTTGGTTTACAATGGTTGGGACCAAGAATGCTTTTCAAGCTCCTCTGGTGATCTGCTGCTACTGCTGGAAGATACTCTTTCGGTTTAATAATAAGGTTGTGTTTATGTGTCAAGTCATTCTATTATATTTCTCTTAAATCAGTATTGTCAGTCTCCTTGGTGTTTTTTTTTTAAAAAGTAATTGATTCTTCATTTATCTCAACTGATTAATCAATATGTATTTTTATATAATTTGCATGGATTTTTGATGAAAAATTGTCTAGTTGAGTACACAGGGGTTTTGTTTGTCAGAGAACACAAAGCCCACATCCAGGGAACTTTGCACTCAACTCACACAGGCTAGGATTCCATAGAGAAGCTTTCCTCAATTTGGTACACATTTTTGGAAGCATCCAAAAATGCATGGGATTATGGCACATATGAAGACCACACAATTGAGGAAAGCTACAATAACAGAATAGATTGCTCAAATTATTCATTTAATCCCAGACTGCAGTTATGCTATAAATAAGAGGTCAGGTGCCCTCTAGTGATCCTTGAAAGAACTAAATGTTTCTTGTTCAAAGGAAGTAGAGTTAGTGTCACATCCTAAGGATACATGAAGGGAAAGAATATTAATATTACACTTTCACTGTTGCCTCTAAAAGAGCATTTTATTTCAAATACAATTCCACTTTGATCTAAGTAGAACAATGTGAGGAAAATTGCTTAGTTTTTCCCCCCAGATATCAGTTATATAAATACAATGGAACAGTACCATGGTTGGAACAAATACAAATGAAACATTATCTTATATCTATAATGGAAAGATGGGCTTGATTTTTCTAACAATTATTTTATAAATTCTAGAAGTCATACAATTTTTAATTTAGTCCACATAGATAGTCTCCCTATCCTATAATAGCATGTACATTTCCCCCCAATTATTATGTTCTATGTTGTCTTCAAAACAAATAGTAATATAAGCACTACTCTTAGAACACCCATATTTTTTCTTGATTTAATTGAATTTCATGTGTTCATGTGCCAATATAATTTTTGACTAAGATCAAGTATAGAACTATAAGAATAATTATGAGCTCCAGTTGCCAAATCTCCCTAGTAATCTCTTCATCCTCCTAATATCTTCTTTATAATAATGACACTATTAAAATGCATAATGTTTATAACTTTTGTGGGTCATGTCAACATCCATATAACCCCCAGAACTGCATTTGGGATTAATTTGTGTCTTCAGAGCTGGTTTTGTCTAATGGTTAAGACATTTGAGTTCTACCTTCAGCACAAAGTTTTCCGGGTGACCTTGGGCCAGTCACTCTCTCAGCCTAGGAGTGGGGCACTGGTAAATTTCTTCCAAAAATGCTGCTGAGAAATTTCATAGACTAGTCCATGTAGTTGCAAGAGTCAAGACTGACACAAAAGCACTAAATAAAAAATTAATTAAATAATTTTATATGACTACTGCCAAAGAGAATGTCAAGAGGAAAGGATTCCCATTAGTAGCCATATGTTTATTATGTCTTTACTTCCAACATCAGGGTAAATGCCTGAAAAAAATATGTCTACCCTTTGTTCTCTAAACAAGTAGGCTTTCACAATAACTATTTTTTTTGCAAAGATCTATGTCACCTGCTATAAACACGAGACTATCTAACCTAAAAACCAAAGTAGAGCCCAACTGGATCAAGTCATTGGCCATTCTGCATCACACCATGGCCCATTAAATGTTTTCAAGGAGCTGATAAGCATTGATAAAGGGATGATAGCCCTTCTCTGCTTTGGTTTCCTAGCAGCTAATATTTAAGGTATGCTCTCTGTAATTCCTTCATTATATTTTCTAGTTTCCCCTTTTGAAGCCATCCTAATTAGTAGCCATTACCAGGGACTGGCATCAGTTTTCAAATTTCTAAATCATATTGTTTACATGCTGACTTCTTTTTTTCAATATTGAAATTGTCTGCCTTTAATCTCAGTGGAAAACCCTAAATCTTGAGGGATTAAAACTTAATTCCATCTATATTACATTATTTTTCTTACCTTTAGCCCTGGATAATTCATTCATGATTTCATGCACCTGTATCATCTCTCTTTTTACCCATCATTTGTCTAAGCTAAAAGGTACAAGCGCGAGGATGAGCCGTTCCAGCCGCCTCATCATTTAGGTTGCCCCTTTTTTTGTGTCTATGCTGTATCTATCCACTAGATACAGTAAGTTTTATGTTGGTTTAATTGTAATTAATCATAAGCAGGGGTGAAATCCAGCAGGTTCTGACAGGTTTTGGAGAACCAGTAGCAGAAATTTTGAGTAGTTTGGAGAACTGGCAAATACCACCTCTGGCTGGCCCCAGAGTGTGGTGGGAATGAAGATTTTGCAATATCTTTCCCCCAGGAGTGGGGAGGAAATGGGGATTTTGCAGTATCTTTCTCCCAGAGTGGGGTGGGAATGGAGATTTTGTAGTATCTTTCCCCTGCCACGCCCACCAAGCCACACCCACAGAACCGGTAGTAAAAAAAAATTGGATTTCACCACTGATCATAAGGACTAATTTGAGGACTATTATGTGATGAGTGAAACAATGATGGCCATCCATAAGCATGGCTGGTTAAAAAGGCATTTCTATTTTTTTAAAAAAATCTGAAGGTGTGGATTACTGTAAAGAATGGAGTGGTTTACTGCAGGTCACCATTTTATCAACTCCATGGAATGCTGGTAGTTTCTCTGAAGTTGAAGCCTGAGATGAAACACAACAATTATCTTTTAAGATATTCTGTGGTGTGCAGGTAGACTCTGTTGAAATCACATGGTCCATCCCAGGGGCCAGATGTTTTTCACATGAGCAAGGCATAGCAAAAAAAAAGAAGTGAGTCTCTTTGAGTATCAGCCACCAGCCACAGTATGTTGTAAATATTTGATAGCAACTTCTGTTGCTAACGATACCCAGACTTGGCCATTGTTGGAAACTGGAGATATACAGATGGCATCCTCCTCTTCTTCTCCCCCTTCTTGGTGGAAAATGAAAGTATTTCCTTTGCAGAAAGACTAAATTGTGTCAGCCTTGAGGGGTAGGGGTGGAAGGGTCGGGTAGGATGTGAGGTACCTTGTGGATGCTGTCAAAGAAGAGTCCAAGTCTTGAGGGCAGTTTGGCTGCTTTGACATACAATGAAAGAATATCATTAAAACATAACAGAGACCTCCCTTCCATCAAGCTCTGAGAAAACTATATAATGACTAGAAAAGACTAGCAGTAAAGTTCCCTTTCTCTTTTAAGATCTCTGAAGATTCTTGGCAAATGTGAACAAACTGAGTTCATGATGTTTAGGACTTTCGTTATAATTAATCTCAGTTTTATCCAAGAGGAAGAATAGACTTCTAACCTATGCTGAGAACTTGCTAGACTCATTGAACCCTTTCAGTATAACCAAACTATTGAAATGTTAAAAAAAAAAAATTTAATGGCAGTGTGAGGATGAGACACTTACTCTGCCCAGGAAAACTAAATCAGGTGATGATCAGTTTGCTATTTCTATAAAAGGAATGATACTGGCCCAGTATGGATCTGGACATACTGGATCACACAGAATATCAGCCAATATGGCCCATCAACACGGACAATTTCAAAAGATCCTGGCAGCAATTTCCAAAACAATTCTGAATGGAGAAAGTTTAGGGCTCCTAGATTTTGGTTACACAAATCTGGATCATCATTAGAGAGGTGGAAAACACAAATTCTTACTAAGTGTAAATGGTCACCTGCAGTGGTGGGTTTCAAAAATTTTTACCACTGTTCTGTGGGTGTGGCTTGGTGGGCGTGGCAAGGGAAGGATACTGTAAAATCTCCATTCCCACTCCACTCCGGGGGAAGGGTACTGCAAAATCTCCATTCCCTCCCCAATCCAGGAGAAGGTTATTGCAAAATCCCCATTACTTCCCAATCAGCTGGGACTTGGGAGACAGAGAATAGATAGGGGCGGGGCCAGTCAGAATTTTTACTACCGGTTCTCTGAACTACTCAAAGTTTCCACTACCAGTTCTCCAGAACTGATCAGAACCTGCTGAAACCCACCTCTGGTTACCTGGCAGTTTGTAGCTCTGATCTAGTAGCCTTAAGAATTCCAGTCTAGGAAGTTTTTCCTAGATTCCTCCACAAAGGACTGGCTGCAATGCAGAGTCATGTATTGTTGAATACCATAGGCTTTTTGTTGGCTTGTCAGCTGATTTCCTAAAAAAGAGGCCACAAATCTTCAAGGGAATAGCCATTGGATACTACAAAAATGTTCCATATATTCTCCCTGCAACAATTTATTATTTTGCATATTTCTATTCCACCACAATTGAAAAGACTCTTGGGAAACTACAACATTTGAGATACCTTCAATCCATTCCCTGGAGATGGCAATGCAGACATCTAGGCAGGGATGCAGCCAATAGGGTTGTCAGCTCTTTTTCAGGGAGAAATAAATAGGCAGATATCTCACCTGGCCATTATGACCATTTTGTGCATCACTGTAACGCATTGTGTGCCTCACTTGTAGAGTACCAAAGCATTTACTCTTTTCATCCTATTGTTTAACATCTACATAAAACCAATGAGGGAAGTCATCCATCAGTTCAATATTATCACTGCACTAATAGCCAGTTGTGCATCACCACTCTGGGCCTTATGGTTGATGCTATGGAAAATTTGCCTGGAGACTGTAACAGTTCTGTCTAGGACAAAATTGACTGACATTGGGTCCAGGTAAGATGGAGCTACTGTTTGTTCATCAAGATTCTCAATCAGCTCCTGCCTGAAGGCATTCAGCTAGCACTGAGGGATTAGATCAATTACTTTAGGTCCTCTTGGAATCAGACCTACTACTGGATAGAAAGGTGGAGGCTATGGCCAGGTGCCAGTTTGTGCCAATAGTCATACCTGAGGCAAAAAGATCTCACAAAAGACCTCTTTTATTGATTGATTGATTTATTGATTTGATTGATTGATTGATTGATTGATTGATTGATTGATTGATTGATTTGATGCCCATCTTGTCTAGAGGTGACTCTGGATGGCTTACAAACATTACTCTATGGTTAAATGAAGAAACTTCATTACTACATGGATGGACTATTGCAGTGCATTCTGCATGAAGCAGGCTTGAAAGCAGCCCATTTATTGGCAGGTGCTCCCTGCAAAGAGCCTATGATGCTATGGGCTTTCCATTGTTTACACTAAATTTCTGGTGCAGTCTAACAAGCTCATTTTGATATATGAAACCCTAGATGGTGTGATGCCTATGTATCTGCTGGACTCCATTCTTTAAGCAGTCTGTCCAGTGTGATTCTCCTGGAAGAAGCTCTTAATTGTACCACATTCTCTGTTGCACCACCTTATGGAATAACTTCCTCTTGGAAGTGAGGTTTCCTCCTTCTCTTACAACATTCAGAACTTAGTTAAGATGAAGATTATTTGGTTTGTTTCTTCATTTAATTATTTATTGCTTTGGTTGCTCCTCCAATGATATTATTATAATCTGTCTCATTACATTAATTTTAGATCATGGTTACCATCAATTAATTAGTTACTTTGGTTTACAAGCTGTTTCAAAGGCAGGCAGGGTCCTCGTGGTGGTGGGGGGTTTATGATGAGCTCAATCATTTGCTTAGAATCAAGTATCATCACTATGCTGATGATAGTTAAATGTACATCTCACTGTCTGACCATCTAAGTGCTCCTGTGAATATGCTTTCCCAGTACCTGGAGGCTGAATGGGGAAGAAGAAGCTTTGGTGGAAAGAAGATTGCCACCCTCTCACAAGATTGGTTGGCTGTGGGTCCTAGGAGCCCCACCTCTAAACCCTGCATCTAGTGCTTTGCCATCTTTAACTCTGGCTGATGTTACACTCCCCCAAATCAGAGTTGGTGCACAGCTGGGGGTTCTTTTGGACTCACAGCTCCTGCCTGAAGACTGTGCAGCTTCTGTGGCCAATACACATTTCACAAATACTTACCCCTTGTGCCCTTTATGTCGAAAATAGAATAGAATAGAATAGAATTCTTTGTTGGCCAAGTGTGATTGGACACACAAGGAATTTGTCTTGGTGCATACACTCTCGGTGTACATAAAAGAAAAGATACATTCATCAAGAATCATAAGGTACAACACTTTATGATAGTCATAGGGAAACAGTCAATATAAATCTTAAGGATACCAGCAACAAGGTTACAGTCTTATAAATAAACGAAACACATTCACTTTGAGGGTGGGGATTATTTATTTTGTGGAAATGTACCCTTTATCACTCAAGGAGGCAAGTCCAATTGGTAACCATATGCAATTTAGGCTGAATTTCTTAGAGAGCATGCATTTATGCAGACTTGCGTCCATGGGAGTTCATTGCACCTTCATTTAGAAAAAAACATCTTTGGCATCATATCTGCCTGGATGTGTTAATTTGGGGGGGGGGATGTCAATCTTCTTTTTATCAAGAGTAATAAATATTTATAAATAGTAAGTAAATATAATAAATATTTTGGTAGCAAGTATAGATAGATGATAGATGATAGATAGATGATAGATAGATAGATAGATAGATAGATAGATAGATAGATAGATAGACAGATAGATATAGATATAGATATGCGCACACACACACATATATAGTAAACTCTTCAATATTTCTCTCTTTTTTGCCTGCTTTACAGTTTGATTACTCATGGCTTTGGAACTCCTGCGATTTGTGCCGCCCTCAGCACTTTCCAAACTGTTCTAAGTGAAATGCTGAACTACTTGGAAAAACACACAGCGCACAAAAATGGTGGAGCAGCAGAATCCGGCCAAGGACACAGCAACTCAGAGAAAGTCCCACTGAGGAAAACGTCAGAGGCAGCAGTGAAAGAGGGCAAAACAGAAAAGACAGACTAGCAACATCAGACAGAATCTATTTCCAGAGAACTTTGCTGCTGTTATTTTTTTTAAAAAAAACATATATCTATCTAACTATATCTATACATGCCTGTATATCTCATCGAAGGTGATCTCGCTCCTGTGGACCAAACTGAAGGGGGGAAAAGAAAAAAGTTGTAAAAAAATCTACCAATCTGAACAACTCTACGGACATCAACCATGTGATGAGACTATCCATTTTTAAGTGTTGCTCTTGAAACTGCGATGTGTGTGTCTGTATGTGTGTGGGTGTGTACGCGCGTGCGTGCACACATATTCATTCAATCATTCCAAACATTACATCAATACACATTTTCTTGGCATTTCCAGACTCGAAAATGCCATTCAGAATCACAAAAATACATGATCATGGGATACACTTGTACTAGTGGGGAAAATTGTATCGCACCACCCATCTGATGGATGAAACACGAAAGAACGCCTCTTTTCACTTCTGACATCATATGAAAGACCCCTGACTGAAAGATGAAAAACCTCAGAGCTCTTAAGAGTACAACCATCACGTTGCCAGGACTGATGATTTGAGCCCTGGGAATTTATAAATAATCCTCATCAGAGCTATGTCAAAGTCCACCAAGATCGAGTCCTTCTCATTCAAGGATCAGCCTCAGGATGACATCACAGATTAGAATGAATGAGCCTGGACTTTAATCTATCACCTGTTTATTTCTGCTTAGTAGAAGTCAAATGATACATTCAATGAGTATCTTTCTTATTTGCGTTTCCACTTATTAGCCCATTTTCATCTCAGCAAGAAATGATATACAGTCACGTATTCTGCTGGTTCAAAAGAAGGAAGTGGAGAGGACTATTGTATTATTTTGATATTTCTGGGGAGTTTTGCTTTCTTTTTCATAACAGCTCTGATTCAACACCATATGTTCTCCAAGTGGTGGTGGTAGAGAACAGGTCCAGGTTAGTCTTCCTTGCTCTAGTTCTCTGAGGCATATCTCCAGGAATGCTTGAAAGAATAATAGTATATGCTGAGTGGTTGAAAGTAGGTAGGGTCTGGGCATCGTTGAATAGGCAAGATTCTCCTAGCACAGTCTGCATAAAAAGTGCCCATTGTTGCAGATGTTGTCTTGTCATAGACAAACTAAGGATGTAAAAATAAACTAAGGTGACCATCCTTAGAAGACATACTCATGTATGGGTTCCTGGCTCTCATACTGCCATGGTGATATGAGTGATATGCTTACAGAAGCAGTGAAGAGTTCTTTTTAATCCAGGAGGAAAGTAAAACTTCAAAAAGTAAAATCTGCCCATTCAAGTCACCTAGGAAATTTATATGATAATAATATAGAACTTGGTTGCCATTGCCATTTTTCAAGGTTTTTTTTTTAATATTATATTTATCAGGAAATTAATGCCCAGCTTCCTGTTTGTGGCAGTTTATAACTATCTAATTTAGTCTAGTCTAAAGGCCTGGGGTTTCCTACCTAAGTATTAACCTAAACTGCTCCCATTAACTTTTTGAGATCAGCCAAGATTGGTTAGATTTACTTGTCAGGACTGAGTCACAAATTAGCAGTATAGGTAATCCTCATTTAGCAGATACAATTGGGATCAGCAACTCAATAGTTAAGCAAAGCAGTCACTATGTGAAACTGCTACTGTGCTTAAGATCTTACTTCAGTTTTCCTTTGCTTTATAGATCTGTGAAGGTCACAAATGCAAGGACTGGTTGTAAAATTACTTTTTCATCACTGTCATAACTATGGTTGCTGAACAAGGCAGCAATTAAACAAGGACTACCTGCATTGAAATCTCATCTAGTATCCTGGCATAGTTCATTCAAAGCCTTTGATCTGCCTAAGCATATTACTGCCCTATTATATAAAGCAATGATGGGGCCAATATGCTGCCATATAGTGAGCATATCATTTCAATAGGAGACATTTGTCCTCCCTCTCCCCAAAAAAGCAAACACACAATCAAAATTAAAAAGGTACAAAGGTAGTTCCATCAAAGTCAATGATGCTATAGTAGAATCTACACACTAAGCAATAATTCACTAAAATATGACTAAACATATGATTGTTTAAGTATTGTAGTCATGTCCGGTAGGCCATATGAATGTATTATTTGTACCTTTGGATTCAAAAGTGAGTTTAATAAGCTTATCTTTATTAGGTAGAATTTCATGACTCTGGTATGGGTAAGAGGCACAAGTCTCTGGTCTGATCTGTCACTTGTTAGTTTCTGGCAGCAACCAACAAACAATGATAATAAGATCTGTCAATGACTGCTTTTACTGAGATATGTGATTCTACATTCAAGAGTGAGAAGATGTTTTCAGTCAGGACGGCTAGGTCTCTTGAGAGTGTATATTCAACATTCAGAGGTCTATTTGTCATTAAATGATTGCCTATTATTTTAGATGGTAACAATCAAGGCCCTTTCTCTAATTGTGAAATCCTGGTAAAAACTTTATTGCAACTTTTCAGTCCTTTCCTTGTTCAATCCATATTTAAATAGCTCACTTGGTCTTTAATGACTAATTTGGCTCTTTTTGTTGTTGTTGATTAGTAAATAAGCTCAGTATCCAAAGATCTCATTTCTCTGTTTGACATGCAACCATACTTAGAATGTCCTTCACATATTACATGTTTATAAAATGCATATCTAAAAACTAAATAGTGTGGAAACCACTTGTCTAAGACTAGGAGGTAAGCTGCAGCTGAATATAATATAGCCTGAGGTTTCATATCAAAGAAAAAATTATTCGTTGCTGTCTCATGTGTAGTATGACTGTTTCACCTATAACTTGATGATCTATCAAACACAAAGGGATCTAGTGAATGATCTCGCTCAAACCTCTGTGTAAATATGGCATCCTGTTCATACCTTGCTTTCAAGATTTCCTCACAAGCATGATTGTTTTGTAGAAGCACCTAATCTGATGGTACCCTGTTTTGTTTTGGGTTTTTTTTTTACTTGTATTCTTCTCTACTCTTGATGATTTTAATAAAAGAAAAGGGGAAAACCCCTCTTTGCTCTGGACACTAATCCACCAGAAAGGGATGAGGATTGTTCTCCATCAATTGATCTTCAAAGAGATCATGCCCCAACAGTTGACTTATAAAAGGGCAAGAGAAACTGGCAGCAAGAGATTTCAGGCCAATAGTAATGCTCTGAGAAGTGATTTCCAAACCAATTTCCTATTGACTGGATTGCAGATCAGGAGGCTCAGAAGAACAGGTGGTCTTCCCACATCAGATAAAGCTCTGATTTCAGTTCCAGTTTAAAATGATTGTAATTTAAACCCACGGCTTTCCTTTTGTATGATGGACTCTGTATAGCAATCATTGTACTTGTATTTAAATGTGAGTGAGCACATGGACACAAGCAAGACTTTGTGATTTCCTCTCCCATTTTGATGGGATCCTTTATAATTTGGCAATGAAATGCATAGTTCTTTTTCTGTTTCTTATATGACTTGTCTATTAGACATGACCCTAAGAAAATATGCCCACATTTAAGTGAACATTTCACAGCAATAAAATTAATGCTGATTTATGTACTTGGAAATAATTTCTAAGCAGCAATAACATGTGAACGGCAGAGGTGCTGCCTTTACCACTATCTTTCTGGATAAGAGAAATGCAGGTAGAATTGTGTTGTCTATCAATCAATCTTCCTGCCAGGTTACATTGCTATGTTTTATATAATGGCTGTGTTCACACAACATATGAAACCAGGGTTTGTGAAATCATTTTAGCAGAATTTGCCAAATGCTGTAAATTAGTGTTTTACTAATTTACTAATTCCCCGGGGGGGGGGGGGACATTTTGGTTGGTTTAGCAAGTTATGAGAATCCAAGCAACATAAGGACATGCAGTTCATATTTATTAAGCTGGTATGTGATTTATTTCAATATAACTTAGCAAGACATGTGAATTCAATTACTGTGACTTAGTGAGCAAACATTGCTTCAAAGTAATCAGTGGGATGTGTTAATCTAGCTAGAAAGACTTGCACAACGGTAACAAATAGAATAATGAGAAGTTCTCATCTTATTCTTTTGTATTCAAGAGTTCCACTAAATGTAGTGAGTCTTACTTCCAAGTAACTGTAAAGATAAGGGTAAAGGTTCCCCTCGCACATATGTGCTAGTCGTTCCCGACTCTAGGAGGTGGTGCTCGTCTCCGTTTAAAGCCGAAGAGCCAGTGCTGTCCAAAGATGTCTCTGTGGTCATGTGGCTTGCATGACTAAATGCCAAAGGCACACGGAACACTGTTACCTTCCCACCAAAGGTGGTCCCTATTTTTCTACTTGCATTTTTTACATGCTTTCGAACTGCTAGGTTGGCAGAAGCTGGGACAAGTAACGGAAGCTCACCCCATTACGCAGCACTAGGGATTCGAACCGCTGAACTGCCAACCTTTTGATCGACAAGCTCAGCATCTTAGCGACTAAGCCACCGTGTCTAAGTCTAAGTAACTGTACTTAGTAACTGTACTTAGGCATAAAGGCAAAAGGTCTCTTGACTACTCCCAGCCCTGAAGTCCCTGTTACAGATACCAAAAATAGTAGTCCTGGGAAGACTTGAAAGCTTTCTAAGACATAATATTCCACCTACTGGGTCTGATAACTTTCATGATCAGGAAACCGAGAAGACAAAATAATGAAATTACTTGGGAAGGGGGGGAATATGTGTATTTACAGTACAGTTTGAAGCTATACCTGCAGGCACAACAATAAATTTAACCTCATCACTTAATGGTTGTGTTAACACAACCTACCACATATTGATGCTCAAATTTCTTCTTCTTCTTTTCTTTCCAGTAGTTCAACCCATCTCTCTAAATTACCACTCAGGAAGGTTGACATCCACCCAGAAACAAAAGGTCCATTTGATTCCTGAATATAAACTGGGTCAGAAAGGTCTTTTTGCCCTGTGTAGATACATAGCATCGCAAACTGGTTATGGAAATGATTGTGGAGGGAGAGAAAAGTACTTTAGAGATATTCCAGATGGAAGCAAGGAGGGATGCAGAACCATTTCATGTTCCCTTTTATCCCCTATGCCACTGTTTTTAAGCAAAATGCCATGTCATGGATCCAATTTGGCCTGTTTGCTATTAGTACTGGTGGAACTTTAGCGAAAACGTTATTCTCCTAGGGAAAAAAAAACCTAGTAGTTAAATCCTGCTCTTCTTTCTATAAGAAATGAATATTTCAATGAAGATTCCATAAATTTTCGAATGGTCCTTTAGGATTTAATTTAATTTAATTTAATTTATCAAATTTCTATGCCGCCCAACTCCCAAGGGACTCTGGGTGGCTTACAGCAAAAAATAATACAACAAAGAACATAGGAAAATTATTTTAAAAATATTATAAAAACATTTTAAAAACATTAAAAGTCCATCCACCATTCATGGCCAGATCTCGCAAGATTGCAACAGCGAGATCAACAGCCCCAGGCCTGCCAGAAAAGCCAGGTTTTCACCGCTTTCCGGAAGGCCAATAGGGTGGAGTAGTCCGGATCTCTGGAGGTAACTGGTTCCAGAGAGCTGGGGCAGCCACAGAGAAGGCCCTCCTCCGCAGGCCTGCCAGCCGGCATTGTTTAGCTGACAGGGCCCAGAGGAGACCAACTCTGTGGGATCTTACTGGTTGCTGGGAGCTATGTGGTAGAAGGTGGTCTTGAAGATAGCCTAGCCCTGAGCCATGTAGGGCTTTAAAGGTAATAACCAACACCTTGAATTGTGCCTGGATAGGAAGCCAGTGCAGCTCGTGGAGAATTGGTGTAATGTGGGTGTATCTAGGTGCACCCACGACAGCTCACACAGCTGCATTCTGACTAACTGTAGTCTCCGAACACTCTTTAAGGGTAGTTCCATATAGAGCGCATTGTAATAATCTAACTGTGAGGTGACAAGGGCATGTGAGGTGACAAGGGCGTGAGGAGAGCCTCCTCATCCAAGTAGGGTCGCAATTGGTGCACCAGGCAAACCTGTGCAAAGGTCCTCCTAGCTACAGCTGCCAGATGTTGCTCTAATCTTAGCTGTGAGTCTAGGAGGACACCCAAATTGCGAGCTCGTTCTGAGGGGGACAATTTCTCCCCTCCCCCAGAACCAAGGATGGACATTCGACATAGTCTTTAGAAGGCAATACCCACAGCCACTCAGTCTTATCTGGGTTAAGTCTGAGCCTGTGCTCAGTGGGCCAAGTTCCTTCATGGGTGCAGCTGACAAAGGAACATTCCCTTGTGCTTCCAGTCTACCATGGACCACAAAGTCACATTTTTTATGTAATTCCCATACAACTTAGCTGCCCTAAAGATTTAGTAGCTCTTATGAGAAATCTTTTCTGGATATAGTGATCAACTCCTGCACTTGTAAATGCTGACAGTGCAAAATGAAATAAAGAATAACATTTAACATGTATATATGCTTGGGGGGTAGAGCATATCCCACTCTTGTCTGGAACCAGCCAGCATTCCAAGTGCACCCACTGACAAGAATGAGACAGATTTCTAGTTTTTATGATTGCCTTGTTGGCTGGCTGCCTTTCTTTATTCTGAGATGAACTTATGAATGGAATTACTCATACTGATAGCTGAATAGTGAGTGATATATCCCCAACAGAATAACAGTGTTGGAAGGGACCTTGGAAGTCTTCTCATCCAATCCCCTGCTTAAGCAGGAGACCCTATACCATTCCAGACAAATGACTGCCTAATCTCTTCTTAAAAACCTCCAGGGACGGAGCCCCCACAACTTCTGAAGGCAACACTAGTTATTGTTCTTACCATCAGGAAATTTCTCCTTAGTTCTAGGTTGCTTCTCTCCTTGGATAGTTTCCATCCATTGCTTCTTGTTCTGCCTTCAGGTGCTTTGGAAAATAAGTTGACTCCCTCTTCTTTGTGGCAGCCCCTCAAATATTGGAAGACTGCTACCATGTCACCATAGTCCTTCTTGTCTTTAAACTAGACATACCCAATTCCTGCAACTGTTCCTCATATATTGTAGGCTCCAGTCCCCTAAACATCTTTGTTGCTATTCTCTGCACTTCTGCTAGAATCCCAATATCTTTTTTTATATCATAGTGACCAAAACTGGATGCAATATTCCAAGTGTGGTCTTAACAAGGCATTATAAATTGGTACTATCACTTCCCATGTTCTTGATGCTATCTCTCTGTTGATGTAGCCTAGGGCAGCATTGACTTTTTTTGGTGGCTGCAGCACACTGTTGGCTTATATTTAAGTGGTTGTCCATTAGGACTTTAGATTTCATTTCACAGTTATTCACGCTGCTATTATTGCTATTGTAACTCAGCTTGTTTTTATAACAGGGATGCAATGTTATTTTACAATATGCCTCATAACATTGAAAGGGCTCCTCCTTCAACATTTCAAACGAACAGTTCTACTCTGGATAGGCGACAAGGGAGAAAAGCTGGAGGAGCCAACATACTCCATTGAAATTTCAGAAAAGGAGTGATGTTCTCTTTCCAATCTTTGGTGGATTAGAAAACTTTCATAACTTTATTAACTTCCAGTGAACCCTCATCTCAGCAAGATCAAAATCAATTAATCCTAAAACTCCAATTGATGTTATTGATAGTAGATGGTAAATTTACAGTATGTTTGGAAAGTGGCATATCTAGGATCCATGAAACCCAAAAATCATGATATCCCAAGCCTTTAAATTTGATAAAGATCTGGAAGCCTTGAAGAGCATTATTGCTATTTCTCTTGAAATTATAATTAAAACCTTAAAGGGGAAAAAAAAAAGAATCAATCCCCTGATAAACTCATTACAAATTTACAAACTGCATTACATACAGTGCAGGGGCAACTCACCAGAAATAATTTAAAAATAATTAACCAACCTTTAGACGCCGAGCAGTAGAAGCTGTTGTTAAATTACATAGAAGGATGCCTTAAGGAAATCTTCTCACTGCTGGCTGATTTTAAACTTGAAATAATGGATGCTTACAGATTAAGGGCAATAGGCAATCCCTCACAGAGACCTGCCCCTATAATTGTTAAATTTCTAACATCTAGTACTAGAGGTCAGCTCTTAAAACTTTCAAGACAACCCACCAAACTGAAATACCATGGATGAAAAATTGTGATTTACCCAGATCTTTTTTTTCAGTGTTCCAATTACAGCAAGACTTATATTTGGTGTTTATGTTTGCAAGAACTAAGAGAAATTTCTGCATCCATCAATCTTCTGTCTCTCTTGAGGATGAGATCCAAGTGGTCCAAACAAATTCATAGGCTGCTGTGGAAGTTTTATATGCTCTGGGTGATGAATAATAGTTTTGTTTCCCTTTCATCTCCTTCTTCTTTTACTATGTGAAAGAATATGGTCTTTACTATGGTCACTCATGACCACTTGGCCAAAAGTGGCACTTGCAAACCATGTGCTAAGCTACATGCACCTTTTAGAGATTTCAGAGTGGTCTTTGATTTAATTTCCCAGCCCAAGCTCCTTCTCTTTATGTATAGATTATATGATAATTCAACTATAAAATTCAACTTCAGCTCCAAGGGACATTATACTAAGCAGATTCCTGTCAATAGTGGAGTCTGGAAGGTATACATTCTGCCACCATCACTGTTTAATTATGGTATCAATCCTTTAGTTGCTAGAATAATTGATCTCTCTCATCATCCCCAGAATTTGCACAGAAACAGTTCTCTTATATGCAGAGTTGCTCAGAGTTCATCAGGCCTAAAAAGAACATTGTATACCCTGGCTGTATATTAAAATGCAGTGACACTAGTAATTAATTATAATAAAGCCAGTGTGTTTGCCCTTTAATTTGATTCTATCATGCAAGTCAAGTGGTTTTAAGCATCTCAGTGTCATATACCATATCACAACCAAACATTGGATTTGATGCATAGGGAACATGAAGTTCCAAAAGCCTGAAGATCTGCCACAGCCAGGCAAACACTTTGTATCACACGTACTTGCACCGCTGTACTTGCACCACTGTACTTGCGGTACACATTCAGTTCCACTTCATGCACAATTAGAACATGGCCAATTAGCTCCATAAACCTCTTTTGACCCCTTGCAAAAGGTCCAGGCTAAGTTTCTTAGGAACATTTTGGAAATTCCATGTTAAACTTGTACATCTCAAGGCTGGCATTAGTAAGATGAATGTAATGCCTAGATGCTTATCTTTACATGCTGGACCAAGTAATTTTTGTCCCAGCATATATAACTTCCTAGGTCCTTACTGATAAGTGTATTTTGTCTTGGGCTAAGACAGTTCACAAGCAACAAAATTATTAGCTTTTTTTAATCTAGGATGTGTGTTAGGGCATGAGCATGTAACAGAGATAATCAAGCAAGGTCTTAAGAACATCCACATTTAATCAAATATGATATTCCTCCCTAATTTTTTAAGAGTAGCTCCTACAATGTTTCCAGACCTGGGAGATATCTAAGTCAAATTATTATCCCTAAACTTAGGAAGGCTCTAATTGTAGCATGGTTCAATGCATCCCCATGAGTGACTTTAGAGATAAAGGGAGAGATAAGGGCATTCTATTCAAAATATAAACTACACCAGGGGTGGGTTGCCCCCAGTTCAGATTGGTTCGCAAGAACCGGTAGTAAAACAGGCAGGAGGCTCTGCCCATTGACTCAGACGTCATCATAAGTGATCTGCGCGTGCGGGCACAATGCGAACCGGTAGTAAAGGTAAGTAGAACCCACCCCTGAACTACACCCATAGAGAGAATAGTGATATTGGAATTAATAGATATTGGGGAGTAACCCAAATATGCATATGGCAAGGATTGAGTGTGGCAGAGCTGGGCCTGGCTGCTTTAGTGGCAAAGGATATGAGCGATTTACTGGAGCAACGTCTGACTTTCCTTGCCACCTTCCTCATTGACTTTGTTTGTGAAAAACTGGCAGAGAAGGCTGCAATTGGCAATTCTGTGACAGTGGGACACTGCAACTGTCATAAGTGCAAGTCGGTTGCCAAGCACTCATACTGCAATCACATGACTCTGGGAGTGCTGGGAAGGCAGGAACTTCAAGGACCAGTCATAAATACCACTTATTCATTGCCAATGTAACTTTTAACAATTGCTGAATAAGTAGTCATTAAACATGGATTACCTATATCAGGGGTGTCAAACTGGCAGCCCGCATGCCAGATGCGTCACACGCAGGCCACATCCACCCCAGTTCTGTAAATGGGAAAAACGTCATGAAACGTCACATTACAGCAACGTGACACTATGAGTTTGACACCCATGACCGATATTATCATATGTGCATTAAAATGTTTCAGCCTTAAGATTTAGCTTTTTTATTATTATTTTGGTAAATCAAGTTATGGACCCTACAAAAGGCCCTATCATAATCTCAGTTCATGTTCCAGTGACTCGTAATACTAAAATTTAATAAATCAGTCAATTCCACATGGTACCAGAATATTTCCCTTCTAAGAGATTGTCAATTTGTGGAATATATTAAGAAGGAAATGTATTCTTTTTCTGAAAAATAAACCAGGCACAACCAACTTGTTAACTCTCTGGAATGCATTTAAGGGATCCCTGATGGAGGCACCAAGGGATCCATTATCACTTGTGCCTTAGCAAAGGAGAGACTCTGAGACTATAATCTTATACAGATGGAAAAAATGGTTAAAGATTCTGTTACATGCTAGAAACCCACCGATGAGCCATATCAAGCATTTATAATAGTAAAGTTTAAATTGGGTGTTCCAAAGTACTGAGCCTATATGTTGAATTAAATATTTCTAAAAGTATAAATGCAATTTCAGTAGCTATAACCCAATGGTAAAAAAATCCATCCTTTGGGGCAAATGTAATGTTATCAAAATGAACATTACATCAATCTAAAAAGAGGTTCTTATGTTACTTCCTATTCAATATCTTACACAGATAAGTAAGCTAATGAGAAAAATTTTATGACAAGCTAAATTCACTCAAATACCTTTGGCCAAATCCAGGTTATTTTATGTTGATGGCAGCTTTAATCTTCCAGATTTTCAACTGTATTATAGGGATATTATTGTAATGTCTTTTTCCCCTTTGGAGTTAAACTTGTATTATTTTCGTTTTTGGGAATCATATGAAAAGCAAACATGTAACATTTTTCAAATTTTGGCAACTTTATCGTCCAGGTATATTAAACAGGGATGATCATTTTTACTTTTGAAACCTGACAGGCACTTTTCATTTATTAATAAGTAGAGGTCACTTTTTGATCCAGAATCACAAAAGAAATTGACATTGTAGAACAAATAGTTGGAAGATGGATTTTATTTTTATTTTATTTTTTTTGTATGTTTGGGCTAAACATTGATCAACATTTTACATTGATTTCTAATGGTTGTTTTAAAGGCTTTTGAGAGATTGCATGTTGAGTACCAATTACCTGCAATATTCATTTAGTAATGCATACAATTGAAACATATACTAATTTAATTAATATGGTTCATCTACTCTAGCAGCCTCCAAATTTTTACCATTGGTAATTTATCGAATCCCTCAATTAATGTTTAAAAAGGAGTGGGCATTACATTTTTTAAAATGTAAGCAAGTTGCAAGAGTTTTTAAAACTTGTATGATTCAGTCTTGTTTGATTTTAAATTGTTACATACTGTACACCAGTACAATTTTTAAAATAAATATTATGGTAAAGAATCTCAAAGTGATGTTGAACTATATTCACAAAACATGGAATTTACTGGGAAAAGAACTTACTTCCCTGATTTTGAGGAATGGATCTAGGATATGAGTTCATTACCTATTTGTGAAAAGTTTTTGTGTTCTGAAAAGGAGGTGAAAAAAAATGAAATATCTTTCTATATCTTTCTAGATTTAATCATAACTTTCAGGACTGAATTGACTTTATATTGAGATCTGTAGTTATTACATGGGTCCTATATTGGTGTTTTTTTATTTTAGCTTATTTTAATCATTAGATACATTCAGATTTCTTTTCTTTTTGTGAAATGACTTCTTCTTTTGTGTGTGTGTGTTTATTTTTTTTTTAAAAAGGTATGAATAAGAGACAGGGGACATCAAGGTCATTTCTAAGAGGATGTCTGCTTTGATAAATGTAGCCTTACATTTTTCATAGGGAAAGATCACATGCCTGGTATCATAAAGATCTCAGATTTCTATTCTAAAATATCATGGGAAGATGCTAACAGTTTGCAGCAGGGGGCAAGGGGAAATGCCCTCCTGGATCCTGATAAATTACTATCAAGTTTCTTCCACACTGTGTGTGTGTGTGTGCGCGCACACACACATACACACACATGCATGCAAATTAGTGGTGGGATTCAAAATATTTTACTGTGGTTCTGTGGGTGTGGCTTGGTGGGCATGGCATGGCTTGGTGGGTGTGGCTTGGTAGGCGTGGCAGGGGAAGGATACTGTAAAATCTACATTCCCACCCCACTCCAGGAACTCCCTAGTCCCGATCAGCTGGGACTAGGGAGGCAGAGAATAGATGGGAGTGGGGCCAGTCAGAGGTGGTATTTACCGGTTCTCTGAACTACTCAAAATTTCTGCTACCATTTCTCCAGAACTGTCCGAACCTGCTGAATACCACCTCTGATGCAAATCATATATACATATATATACATATACATATACACATATACATATCCATCCTCTTCAAGTCATATTACATTATCTACTTCTGCAGTTGCACCTAATTTCTCCTTCTATGATTTCATGTAATTTTTTTTTTCTATTTCCTTAACCAAAACTGTGATGATATCTTTCCTTAACAACCTCCTTGCACTCAAAATATTATTTAGGAGATTTTCAGTGCCCCCTAGTGGTTAATGTATATTCATGAAATGAAAATACATTCCCATACAGAAGACAAGCATTGTACTACTGAGTCTATGAAAGCTATGAGAAGGCTACTTTTTTTTAACCAAACAGCAGCAACTGAGAAGCAGTTATTACATTATGCTACAAACAGGGTTGGATTCTTCAGGTGAGGCTGGAGATAGTATGGAGATATTCCATATTATAACGTTTCATTTTGTAGATTAAAGCCTCCTTTCCCAGATGCATTGGATTAAATGGGGCACTTCAGTTTACAGTATAAAAAGAAGGCACTCTTTGTGTTGTCAAAAAAGGGTTTGTTTTTATTGCAGCTGAGGGGCCTAAGCAAAGACAATCAAAGTACATTGCTTACTATTCAGTGACATATTGTACTATATTTCATTAACACTATACTACACAGTTTTTCTATACAGTTTTCTGGCTGGTTTATTTAAAAATATTAAATGGAGTGGGGGATGAGTCAGGAATACAACTGTGAATGTGTTTGATTGTGCATTTAATTTTAAATCATTCTAAACTTCAAAACACACACACACACACACACACACACACACACAACCAGGGAAGATACTGTACATAACAGGATATAAATAGACAGATGGTTTGGAGTATTATTTGAAGGAGAATAAAATGACAAAACAAACAAGCAAAACTATGTCTTCTGTAAAATGGCATAACCTAAACAGTAAAGTTTAATGTTTTGTTTCAAACCATCAAGAGTCAAGCCATGGCACTAAGTACTCATTATCTGCATCCTAAAATCAATAATTGAGTTTGAAATTTATTTTATTTATTTATTTATTTAATTTGATTTATATGCCGCCCTTCTCCGGAGACTCAGGGTGGCTTACAATGCGTTAAGCAATAGCCTTCATACTTTTGTATATTTATACAAAGTCAGTTTATTGCCCCCACAATCCGGGTCCTCATTTTACCTACCTTAGAAAGGATGGAAGGCTGAGTCAACTTGAGCCTGGTGAGATTTGAACTTGCAGTAATTGCAGACAGCTGGTGTTAATCACAATGCTTTTAGTCTGCTGAGCCACCAGGCCCTGTTGTATGAAATGTTTGTGGCTCCAGTTCCCATGCTCAAAAGATACAATCCCCTCTTCCCTAAGCAGATTAAAGGCATCCCCAAAATTTGACCATTTTGACACCAAATTTCAACCATGCAATTTTTGAGAACTTTGGGACAGTTGAGGAACAGCCTAAGTGGGGGAAAGAGCAAATTTCTTCCCACAAATTTCTCATGTCTGGCTTCCATTCCCACTAATAAACATCTGAATGCTGGTTACTTCTCTCCCCCCACCCTCCAGTTGTCACCTTTGGCCTTCCAACTGTTTGAGGGTGGGGAGATGGCATGTTTCCCATCTCTGAATTAGTCTATAATGTGTAACCTCAGCAATGAAGCTTACTTTCAGCTGATTATGCACAGCATGAAGATAGCAGTAGGAGAAAATAATACTTCTACCCTATGGATTGGATATTAATTGTGTGTGGTATGTTGTGTATGTGTGTGTATGTGTGCAGGACATTCCTCCTGAAATCCACTGTTATTGAAATTTGGTTGTCTGTAGATGGAGAGAGTCCTTTCTACCATATAGCACAAATGTGATCACGTGTCCAAAGCTAGTTTGGTATAATGTTGAAGGTGCTGACCTAGAAATAGGAGTTCTAGTCCCACTTTAGGTATGAAAACTAGATGAGTGACTTCGGGCCAGACTCTCTCTCTCTCTCTCTCTCTCTCTCTATCTATCTATCTATCTATGTATCTATCTATGTATCTATGTATCTATCTATCTCTATCTCTATCTCTATCTCTCCCTCCCCCCCTTTCTCTCTCTCCCTCCCTCTCTCCCCAGTCCACCTCACGGTGGTTGTGGGGAAAATAGGAGAAGGAATATTAAGTAGGTTTGCTGCCATGAGTTATATACGCATTGCTGCCATTCGCTGCAGCCCATTTGCTGCCACAGCTCATTCGCCACAGCCCATTCACCGCGTCCCATTCACCACAGCCCATTCACCACCACTGCCCATTTGCTGCCACCCATTTTCCGCCACCACCGCAGCCCATTCTAGAACAGATGATTGGTGCCACACCAACCTCCTCCCCCCTGCCGCAATATTTGGAGTATAAGATGCAAAGACATTTCCACCCACTTTTTTGGGTGGAGGAAGTGCGTCTTATACTCCGAAAAATACGGTAATTGGTCTTTAATTGCCTGGTGCTGCCCCTTTTTGCTGGATCTTCTATTATCAGATATATTTCACTAGATGTTAACCAATCTTCAGTTACATCTCCTTGAAGTATATTAAACAGCTTGACAATGAGTGTTTGTAGACCAGTCTGATGTTTCAACCAAAAACTATGCAGTTCATCTTCTGTGCTGTTTTCACCACCATTTCTGCTGTTATTACAAGTTCAGCCTCTTTTCTTTCTTTCTTTCTTTTTTTTTTTTTTTGTTGTACTTTTTTCATCTCCTTTATCTAAGATGCATTTTTGTTGTATTTCTTTGGGTTGTCCTATAGCTGTGCCCAGAATTACCTTGTTCCTTTGATTTTGAAGCCAAGGTATTCAACTATAACTGCAGCCATGGTTTGTTTCTGACAAAGTGCTTATTTTTTGATATTACAGCATTGGCCTCTTTTAATAGTTATCTAGCTGAGTCTTTGTGACACATTTCGATGTAGGCAATCTTATTCGGTTGTTTTGTGCTATTTTAGATGCTCAGTCATTCTTTGTTTCCATTTCTTTTGCTTATTTGGGTAGATGGTGTTGTTCCTTCTGAGGAAAGGTAGAGGAGAGGGTGCCCAGTTTAGAAATGAAAATGGTTCAACAGCTATGCTGGCTCCCTCAATTCCAACTCCCCTGGTTTGCTTCCGAGTTATTTCAGTTTCTTAGCTCTGAATAGCTTGCTGCAGTTCTTCCATTTATATTTCTCTGAACATTTTTATTTTGTATTATAAATTGATGCTAATGTGCTGGTCATTGTCCTGTTATTTTTTCTTTTGGGTGTTGTTTTTTAGAACACATATATACAAATCCAGAATTGATAGCAACTGCAAAAAAAGCCAAAGAAACAGTGAGGCACATACTTAGCTGCTGCAAGAAAATCATATAGTCTGACTACAAACAATAGCATGGCAAAATAACAGATAGGGTGCATTTTAATGGATGCAAGAAATACCACTTGCCTGCAAGCAAGAACTGGCAAGACCACAAAATAGAGAAAGTAATAGAATATGAAGAATCTAAAGTGCTCTGGGACTTTGGTATTCAAACAGACAAGCACCCGCCACATAACACCTCAGACTTAATTACTGATCAGAAAGACCAAGCAATATATCTGGATAGTGGACACTGCAGTACTTGGACACAGCAAAAGAAAAACAAAGTATTGGGGGAAGGGGAAGTCACAAGAATCTGCAATTAGAAGTAGAACTACAGGGAAGGCGGGCAAAAGAAAGCAAAGATAGATGTGCTTTGGGTGCAATGCCAAAATATCACCACTGTGAAGCATCACTTGAATAACATTGACAGTGATAAAATCACGAATTGATTGCAAAAGCAACTGTATTTGAAACAGTTTACATCATGTGACAATACCCTTACTATTATTAACAATAACTGCCTATCCTATATCCATAGGAAAATCTCAATGCCAGGTCTAGTCTAAGTATCTGGCTGACAGAATAATAACCATAATAATTATGTGTGTTACTAGGGATATACATACTAGCCCAAATTTGTTTCATTGCAGAAAACATGACATTGCAGTTCTCAATATGGAAGCAAAGAAGAAACTTAATTTGCTTCTGAGGATGCTTGGCATAGCTTTCCAGTCTTGACTAGCATTTCCAACAGCTCACAGAGGCTTTGTATCTTTGTACAGGAGTTTCTTTGGCCATTACCAGTGCCAATCAAGATTGCTTTGAGAAGATGGCAAAAACTGATAAACTGAATCGGCTACAGTATCTTATAACTCTATTGGGTATTTGGAGAAAACTTCAGGCTGATCTCCAAGTGGTGTCCTTTGCAGAGGCAGCTCAGTGATTTAAAAGTTGATGAATTCCATAAACTCTTGTGCAAGAATGTTGATATGTTTGCTTTGGTGGTGGAAAATTGTATGGACAGAAAATCTTGTTCTGGGTTTAGAAAGTGGGAGCAGAATAAGGCAATGCCTTGATTTATGACCTGACTTTCAAATATTGCCCATGGTATCTTCTGAATCAGCTTTTTGGAGGGATTGCTCAATTTTGTGATAGCTTTTTATGTGGTCCCTAGGGGTTGAAAGCCACTTGACGGGACATAATCAGTCAGAAATCTTTTCTTCTATAGAGATAAATATTAAAATGGTTCTAAGGGCTGCACAGCTAATCTTTGGCCTGTGCATTTGGCCTCTTTTGCTTTTTAATACCTGTTTAGATCTCCTGGGAGGGGGAAAGCTCCATCAGTGACAGGCACTGGATTTTCATTCTACTGAAAACTAATGCCACTGTGTTTGGTATTTCAATTCCATTGTATTCCATCTGAGTCAGCACTTGAAATGTGGTGGATACTTGGACAGGAGTAAACAAATTAAATTTTAATCCTGGTAAGAAAGGGGCATACTGAATAGGAAATTTACAAAGCGGCAATGTCAGCTGTTGTACTGGGGAATGTACTCCCTTGAAGTAATCAGACTCATAGCTTGAAAGTTCATTTAGATGCTCAGTCATTGATTGATATGAAGAGTTTGGGCTGGTGGCCCAGGCACATCTGTTCTTGGTATACTTAAACCAGTCTGGTGCTTTAGTTATAACCACCTTGAATTAGTTTCCTAGATTTACATGGGACAGCTCCTGAAAAAGTAAGACATGACAAAATTTATTTTATACCAACATCAGACCCCATTCTTAAGACCCTACCCCCAGATCACATTTCTAATGCACTCTCTTCTCAGTTGTATACAATGAAGTGAGAATATATTCTTGTTCTAATGAATTGCTACCTGAAATAGAAAGAAAACATTCTGGAGTTTGAGGCTATATTTTATACAATCTCACACATTTAATCATTAGCCTCAGTATCCCTTTAAAAAAAATAAAATGTCTTCTGCTAAAACGATACTTTGTTTACAATTTGTGTCTGAAAATTAACTTCGCAGATGAATTTTATGCTTCTGTGAAAATCATACGACATATAAAAATATGAGATATAAAGAATATCTCTGAGCTGTTTAAGATTGAGGGACATACAAGTTTAATGAAATAATTGTAGGTGCATTATTCATTTCCATCCAGTGGCAGATTTTTACACTCCTCATATACATGTTCCTGAATAACAGCACGCTGAAATTTCAGTGTCGCTATTTCCTACATTTTCTGGAATTTTTAATAGTTAAGACGTTCGAAATAAAAAATGTTATTTTGAAAATGGGACTGAGGTCCAGCACGAATTTAGAAATTTGGTTCTGTTCATTCGGATTAGCTCCAATAACGCTTGCGCCTGCTTCCGTAAAACCAAAATTGGACCATCGTGCTGAAAGGGAATATACCGTTTCTAGACAATAGAAGAATACAATTATCCTGAATCCTCTCGTTAATCTCTAAGAGATTAAAATCGAGTCGCACAGTTTTAAAGAGCAGCGCGGAAAAAAAAACGCCTACGACCTCCAGCAGAGGGCGCGAAAAGAAATCGTTTCAAAACCGAGGCCGAATTAAATGCCCGCTTCTCCGGTGACCTCGGCGTTCCCGGGCTGCGTTCGTCGACTCTAAGGGACCCTCTTACTCTAAAGAAAGAATAGAAAACTCCCAGCAGATCTTTGCTGGAACCAAACAGCTCACTGCATTGGAAACGGCAAAAGGGGGGTGTGGTGTGTGAGGGAATCCGTCCCCCCCCCCCCAAGTAGAAGGGACAGGACAGGAGGCGGAGGGACTAGTGTTAGAGACGCTTCTGAATTGCGGAGTGGCCACAGGTGTCTTGGGTTAATACAGCTGAATAACGAGCGAACCTTTTGCATACACGAATGTTCTTCAGCCACATCCATGGCTGCAGCTCGGATCACCGTAGCCTCACCTTCTTTCTTTGTCAGATTTCTGTTCCCCAGGAGCGCAAGTCCAACATGCACAGCGCTCCAGCTTCCAATTCCCTCCCCCCCCGACCCCCACAACAAACCCCCCACACAAACCAACATTGGCTTCTTCTGTTGCTGAGGATGGGTTTGAAGCTAAGCCTTCCCAACCTAGCCGAACACCTTACACCAAAACGTTGTTAAAATACCATGTTCGCTTTCATCTTTCTTCTCATAAAGGAGAGGACAGCTTCCTGTCATCCCTCCGCCCCCCCCTCCACCCCGTGCGCGTTTAAAAAAAACTGAAAGGTTGATTTCAACTATTGGCAGCTTGCAAGAGCCCATAGAGGGCGCTGTTGTCCTGTTGAATTACAGGTCCCCCCCCCCCCCCCCCCAGCCGCCGCCGCCGCTAGTTTCACACTCAAGCTTCCCATTAATAGGAGTTCGAGGATCTGTTGTAGCCCGTAGAAAGCCAGGTCCCCCGACTGTAATTTTTCTGCCGCGCCAAGTTCTCTTGACATATTAAACCTACGCGGCTAAATTGCCTTCAACGGTGTGTTGGCGTTTCCCACATCTTACATCGCATTTTAGAGGCAGTGCATTAAAATATACAGTGCGGTAGGAGTCCCAAGGATCGTGACTCTACGGTCTTAATGTGTTTAAATCCCAGCTTTTATTCGCCTCCACCACCACCCCCCACGCCCCCAATACCTGGAGAAACATTTCACGGGGAGACGAATTTCTCTGGTGTCTTCACCTGAATCGGATCGTACAGTGTTTTCGGGCCTGTCCAACAGCCAATTCAGCTGGAACACCTGGAGGCGAGTGAAATCACTACCTGTGTCCAGTAAAGCATTTCCTGAGCAATCTTCCCCACGCTCAGTCCGAAGGAAACCCCAATTCGTTCAAAGCATTTATTCCCAGGTTCGTGAGCATAAAATTGCAGGTTGATCCGGGCAGATAAGGGAGAGGATTCAGAACGCATTCCTAAATTAAGACTATGCTTTCTCTATCCTGCCGTGCTGAAGCCTTAAACGCTCCTGTTTCCTTATTCGACCGCACTGCACGTCTGGTTGAGCTGCAGGGGAAGTTCGACCTAACTACTAACTGTCTGCTTCAGTGCAAATTGGGCCTTCTCTCCCCACCCCCGGGCTCTAGAGGAAGGCTGGAAGCCAGAAGCTCGCACGCTTAAGTTTAGCACCTCCGGGGCACAGTTTCGTGTAGGAAAGGCAATAAGGTCTTTTGTTGGCCAACCAGCCAATAAGGTTACAAATCCGGTTTACCCTTTGTAGTATTTTTATGCACGTGGGTTTTCCCAACAGGACCAACCTGACCTCACCGCCGCGAGGACAACAGGGATCACTTCCACCTCAACACCCCAAAGGGATCGGCTCCCGTCGCAACCGGAGGAGAAACCGCGCTAACGATTCGGAACCGGGAGGAGGGAGGCAGGTGGAGTGGGAGGACCCAGGGTACACAAATCGTTTTCCAGTTTGTCCTCTGCCCGATGGCAAAGCCATGATCCTTAGCTCGAAAACTGGGGAGTCCGTTCCCGGTGCCAAGGGGCGAGTCACACTTATTTGGGGTTGGCCCCATTGAAAGCGGCAGGACTAACTCCCCAGTAAGTAGGAGCTGAAGCGGCCAGAACCCAGACTTGGAGCTCGGGGTGAAGATTTTCACTTATTGTAATACTGCCAGTTTTGGGAAAATGCGCATTCCTACTTGTGTGTGAGGAGGGGGGGGGGAGGGGGGGGGGGGGGGAGGGGGGGAGAGGGGGAGGGAGAGAGAGAGAGAGAGAGAGAGAGAGAGAGAGAGAGAGAGAGAGAGAGTTACGTGCGTGCATTCTCTTCTTCCTCACCCCCATCCCTCACCAATTAATGCGCTCTGCTTGGAAGCCTGAAATCGTTTCGGCTCGCTCTCTCTCTCTCTCCCTCTGTCCCCAAAGCTGTGTACGGTGTGTTCAGGGCTGCGCCGCTCCCGTCCTAACGCCGCCGCCTCTTCTTCCTCCCACTCCTCCTCCTCCCGCCCAGACCCGCTTATAAGACGAGAAGCTTTGCTGCCGCGGCTCCCTCTTCCCAGCTTTCATCACTTCCGTGCAAAAGGCCAACCTGCCTTGCTCCTCTTATTCCAGCTACCTGCTGGCTGCGAGAGCGTCTGACCTGCTCCCTCCTCCTGCCCTTTCCGACAGCTCCTGCTGGAAAGGTGCATTCTGAGGTTACGGGCACCGGGAGGGGGGAGAGGGAGAGAGAAAAAAAAGTTGGATTTCTCACTGTTATTGGGGTGGGCAAGGACACCTGGACTCTTCGCTGAGCAGCTCAGCCTTTTCCCCTTCCTAGAAGGCGAAAACTCGATGGCTTGCCCACTCGTGTAAAGACCTCTAGAAAGGGTGCGTTTTAAGACAGCTGTTCTCCTCCTAAAGTCACTTTGGAGGCTTTGCGAAATTCGCAGACCTCTCGAAAAGTCCGAGCGGGAAAGGCCTGTTTCCGCACCCAGCCCAGGGTCGTTTTTTTCTCTCCGCAAGGGGCGAAAGCTTACCAGCTTGTCTCGCTGAGAATGGGGCTCGTTTTAAAACGTGCAGTTCGTTAAACGTCCGCTCAAAAAAAAAAAAAAAAAACCCAGGCAAGTGTGGAAACAAAATAAAACAAAGAGAAACCGCTTCATGAGAGGGAATCTTTGAAATTAGCTTCCCTGGGTTAAATACGGCCGGAGTAGGATGGTCCTAGTCTTTGGACTGCCTTGGTTTTCAACCGAGGAAAGAGAGCAAATTGTCTGAAATTGAAAGGAACACGGGGTGTAAACTTGTGCAGCGTTTTCGCCTCTGTGGTCGTTGCTGCCCCTTGTCTTTCCATTTGTCAGTGAATCAGAATTTATAAAACTCTCTTGTTTCTCTCCCACCTCACCAAAAAGAGAGGAAAATGTCTATTTACATCACAAATCTCTGTGTTGTATGTGCCTAGGTGTGCGTGTGTGAGTTTTTTAGTTGTAAATTTCACACATATGAAATACGTGTGTGCGTATTACAGATAATATAAACTTGTTTCTTTAAATTATTTGAAAGAGTGCCTGGATATACTGCACAAACAAATCGATCTGTAGAAGTAAATGTGTGCAATACACACTCCTTGTGGTCAGAAAGTTGAGGTCCACGTTTGCTCCTTTCCTTGAGTGTGTCCCTACATGTATGTATCTGTGTGCAAACATATGCACAAACCGGGATGTTTACCTACAGAAATATCTCCGGCGTTCTTTTTCATAACTGTGTGTGCGCGCGCCTGTGTGTATGAACATATAGCCGTATCAAGGGTGGGTGAGTAATTATATGCATAATCTATGTGTGTTCAATATGTCTATGTGTTCTATATAAACTCCACAGATGGGAATGATTTTTCCTCTCTGTCTGAGGCTTCCTTCTCCAGCCTATTGTTTCAGACAACAGATATAAGTTGCGATGGGAGAGGAACGTCGGATTTGGTGTCTGTCCCCCATTTCCAATTATAGATGGATCATTACAGACAGAGAAGTCCTGAGAATCCAGACATCTGCTCTTCACATGAATGCACTCACCTCCTAGAGGACAGCCCGCCATCATGCTCTGGAAACTGGTGGAAAATGTGAAATACGAAGACATCTACGAGGTCAGTATGGAGAGAAGAGGCACCTTGGCGGGGCAAAGAAGATTTACAGAACCGGGCAAGAGTCTCGGGCAGGCGTGGAGATCTCGGGAAGGCAAACCAGAGAGGGGTCCGAGGCGAGCCGGGCGCTCGACTCCAGGAGTCCTGGCGCAGTTTGCCTGCCTCGTGGAGGGGAAAAGGGAAACGGGGCGGAGGGGGATCAAGCAGGAAGGGATTTCGGAGGCTTCCTTTAACCGTCGCCTTAGATCCAAAGAGGAACTTTCTTTTCTCATTTTTATTTTTATTTTTTTTGCTTTCGTTTCCTTCTCCCTCTCAAGAAATGAAAGAGGCAGGCACGCCGCACTCAGCTGGCAGGTAAAGCAGGGATTCCCTGGCACGCCGCGCTCGCTTTAGATCTACCGGAATTCGATTAGACCGCAGCCACCCTTCCTTTTCTGTGTATTTTCACAAAGGCAGCTTCCTGCGGAACCGAAGGGGGCTTGCTTTGCTCAGCTCGCTTTTCTTTGTGAGGCAGCGCGAAGCAGGGCGGAAAGGCACAAGTCCAGACGTGCCCCGGAGATCCCCCCCGCCCGCCAGAAGAGCCCTCGCTATGATCTCGGCTCTTTTCCCTGGGCTTTGCAGGCATCTTCCGCGCCCGACAGCCGGGCTCGCTTACATCCCACCATCGGCTCTCTTATCTCGAACCGCTCGTCTAAATTGCCAGGCGCTATCCGGCTTTCTCCGAACCGGGCAAGCGTTGCCATCCAGTTCCATTTGCCCTGCCTCGAAATAAATCCATTTGCCCCAAGCGCTTAGGTTCCACACCTTAGGTTAGAGACTGTAACGTCTATTCCGGGCTGATGAAAAGAAGAGTTTTCTCTCTAATTTCCAACGTTTGGACTCCGGATAGTTTCGGGGTTTTTTTTTTTCTTCCCCAGATCCTTTTCTTTCGGGTGGGCGACCAGCTGGCGCCCTTGGAGAAAGCATCGCGCCCGAGGCAACAGGAGGATTCCAGTCTCCTCCGGCCGGTTAAGTTGACCGTTTCTTTCTGAATGAATCCAAAGTCTGCCGCCGGCTTCCCCCTACCAGTTAATGTTTGAAAGCTTAAACTTATAGGAGAAGTGAGACTGCCTCGCCACGTCTCCCTCCTCCAAGGCGCTGGGCTGCGGTACTTCGTGTAGCTTGCCTTGCAGCCCCGGGACAGCTCTCCAGATTTCCAAAAGCGCCCTTCAGGACAGGGATCAACGGAGCGCCGGCAACGGTGCTCAGTTCTGTTCCATTTCCTCACTGCAGACTTCCCTCCCCTCCCCACCGCTCTCTGTGGTCTTCCCCCTCGGCATCCCACTTCCCATCGGCTCCCTTAAATGCAAGGTTGAAAGTGAGCTGCGTCTCTACCGGAGGGAGGGAAGGTGAGCCAGCGAGGCAAAGATTCATTCTGCCTCTCAATTTCTGCCACCCTTCCAGATCAAAGTATGGGTCCTTCAGCCGGCTAGCGAAGGTTTCTAAGTACGCCGAAGGATTTCCTTTGGTCAACTTCTCGTTCTTTTTCCTCATCCAAATAGTGTTGAACTGTCTTTGGGTGGATCGAAAGATCCTTGCAAATTCTAGAAAGGGGACCGTAATACCAGAAGGACTCTAAAAACCGCTCTCTTTAGAGTTTTCTAACTATGCCATTAATTTACTCTTAAGACAGGTGTGCATGTGTGTGCGCCCGCCCGGGCGTGTAAACGCACCCACCCACTCCACCCTCGTGTAGTAGGAATCCTTCCGCTTTCCTTGCCTACATGAAATCGGCCAAGCTTTCAAATGCAAGATTAAATAGTGGTAAAGTAATGATAATTTTTCGGAACTCAAACATCCAAGTTTCTCCTGAAACAAGATTTGGGGCTTTGCCGACCGAGAAGGCGTTTAGGAAACAGTGCTCGGTTGAACTTTTAACCGGTTGGTGCGGTTACCAGGGTAGGGCAGCAGCTCTTGTAACGTGAGAAAGGTTTTATGTCGCCTCTGGCTTTGCGAGAGAACTATAAGTTTGGTTTTTCTTTGGAACCATTGCATACGTGTTCTGTCCAGGTGACTGCTGGGCGCCTTTTTGGCACAGCAGCTGCCAGAGGCAAAGTAAATGTATCTTGGGCGGGCGCACACTCCGTCAGGTACCCTGGCTGGCTTTCGGCAGCCCGTTGCAAAACCTGGCCAATCTATATAGCAGGGTTCGGTTGAGTTCCCTTTTTTTCTTCCTTTCTTTTCATAAGCTTAATTGCTTCTGTAAACAAATAGCTTTGGCTGCTTTTAAATGTTTTTTTTTTTTTAATGACAGGATTGGAGAAGCTCTTATTTGCTTTAAAAATCAGAACAAAAGCACCGAGGGCAATCGATTTTCCTTCGTATTTGGAATCTATAATTAAATGTAAAAAACCGGGCGGGGGGGGGAGGGAGAAAAGGGAAATATGATTTTCTCCCTCCTTTCTTTTTGCCTCTAGCGTTGCTCCAGATCACTTCCTTGCTTCAGATCAGTAGTGCCTCGTTTACACGTCTTCCCCTGTTCAAATTAATAGAAGTTCTGCCTCTTGCCCGCTCAACTTTTTGTCCCTTCCCTCCCGCTCTCCCCCAGCTCTGCCTCCGCCAGCCCCCTCGTCTGATTACATCTAGTAATTCTCCACTGAATGAACGTCATTTACAATACGAGGGGAGCTCTCGAGCTGCCTGCAAAGCCTTCACGCTCCATTTGGTCTTGCATTCTCCCTTTAAAGTAGTCGTGTAATATTAATAGTCATGAATATCAATTATTATGAGGCGGCGTAGGGAAGGGAAAGGAGAAAGGGGCACTGGAGCAGTCTGAAGCTTGCCTTGGGTTGAAGAGGATTGCTTTTGGAAGCGCAACGGGCGGGGAGGGGGGGGCCAACACGAGGACGCTCCTCGCCGACCGTAGACTCTCTCCATACATATTTTCCTCCAAATTTTGGTTTTGATGGATAGACTCGGAAATACCTCCAGCTGTTCTCCTGGGTGCACCAAGGTCCTTTGCAGATTTTCTTGATACCGCCCCTCTCCTTGTTACTAGAATTATTAATATTAATTTATTATTATTAGTAGCAGTAGTAGTATTCTACTGCTATTTTATTTTTACCTGTTTGAAGATTTTTTAAAACAAATTTCCAGATGTTAGTCCACACCTATTCCGCTATGGTGAGTTGGGTCTGTGTTATGATTTAAAATTGCCCTATTCTCTTTGCCCCTCGGTGCCTTGCCTCGTCTAGACCCTCTCTCATTCCTTCTCTCTTAGCCTCCCTCTCTCTCTCTCTCTCTCTCCCTCTCTCTCAACGCCTTTGGCTTGGTAATTTAGCACAATAATTGGAAGACGCTTGCAGCTGCTTCTCCATTTTGCATTGTGTGTTCTTCATTCGAACTGGGGGGGTGGGGAGGGGGATCAGTGAGGGGAAACTTTTTCAGGGAAGGAAGGAGATATTGCTGTTAAGAAAAGGAGCTACATGTTCTGGTGTGTGTGTGTGTGTGTAGGTCTAAAAATGCAGCTTTGTTTCAGTTATAGTATGTATCAGTGTTATAAGAATATTCGTTGACATTTTAATTCTTTTTTTCAGGTCGTTAGGGGTAATCATTAATATATACTCTTTTTATAGTCATTTATAATTTTCTTTCTGTCAGAGACAAATGTAATTTGGGGGAGAGTGTAAAGAGTCCAAGACCAATAAGTTTATTTAGGACCAGACTTATTTGTCCATGCGACCATTTTTTTTTCTTTTGAAGTTGAGTTTCTTTGAGAAACGTTTTGGTTAATGCTATTATTATATCTTCCTTAGAATTATAGCCTCCTGGTCATATGTCCTGCCATCCAAAACCTGAGTGGATGGCCCCTTTGTTAATTTCTTACGTTTTAAAGATTGTTTTTCCCCCTGAAGCAATTGATGGTTTTATATACGTTCATATTTATTCATATGCTATCAGTATGCTCAAGCAGCATTATATTGTTATTATTGTTGCCATCATTCTTCCTGGTGCAATTTAAGCCTTTTGGTGAACTTTTTTTTAATATATAATAATAATCAATTTTATCATCATCCTCAACCTCGTGCTCATTACCCCCCTTGAGCGTTGGGCTTTAAAAGACCATTTAGGTGTGTTACGATTATAGTTGAATGTATGGGGAGAAGATAACAACAAACGGTTATTAATCCCAGGGAAATATTTACATTGACTCGTATGGTGGCACATGGCGACCATCACCGTCACTACATTGGGAGAAATAGGAGCACTTTAGGATGGGCGGTTTTTTTAAAAAAAAAAAACCACACAGGATGACTTTTTAAAACGCCTCTCTCTTTCTCTCTGCTTCTTTTGTTTGTATCTCTGTCTGGGGCCTGAACTGCTCCCTCCAGGACCGGCACGATGGAGTCCCCAGCCACAGTTCCCGGCTGTCCCAGTTGGGCTCGGTCTCGCAAGGCCCTTACTCCAGCGCCCCTCCACTCTCTCACACCCCCTCCTCGGACTTCCAGCCGCCCTACTTCCCGCCGCCCTACCAGCCTCTTCCTTACCACCAGAGCCAGGACCCTTACTCCCACGTCAATGACCCCTACGCCCTGAACCCGCTGCACCAGCCCCAGCAGCATCCCTGGGGGCAGCGACAGCGGCAAGAAGTGGGCTCCGAGGCCGGCTCGCTGCTGCCCCAGCCACGGGCTTCTTTGCCGCAGCTCTCGGGCCTCGACCCGCGACGGGACTACCACTCTGTCCGGCGGCCAGACGTCCTTCTCCATTCGGCTCATCATGGCCTGGACTCCGGCATGGGCGACGCGCTTTCCCTCCACGGCATCGGGCATCCCGGCATGGAGGATGTGCAGGTAAGTCCTCGCGGGAGAGCTGGGGATGGAGCTCTGGAACCGGTCAGAGTTTCTTGGAACCCCGGGAGCCTTTTGAGGTTAGAAAGCCGCCCTGATACCAGCGCAGGCTAGGTTAGCTGCCACGATCCATCAGTCCGGCGAAGTGGCCTCAAAGGGCTCTTCTGTCCCAGGCAACTTTGACGGGCCAGGCTCCGGAGTAGGCCCGGCGTTTGCAAGAGGCGAGTCCGCCGGCCAGTTGCCGGAGGCGCGACTGGGTTCCACTGGAGCTGCTGCGCCGCCTTGTTAAAGACCCAGACCCAGACCCAGTGCAGCGGCAAAGTTTCTGCCTAACCCTAGAAGGCCTGGCCCTGCCACATTTTCCCTAACCACAAAGAACTCATTTCCAAGTAGAAGCGGCTCTCAAAGACGGAGCGAACACCCAGCTGGCCGACTCCGGACTCTCCAGGATGGTCAAAGAAATGGCGAGATCCCAACTCCAACTTTGCTAGTTATTCTAGGCTATTCTCCCCTATCCTCCTAAAACTGGCTTAGAACCGCCGGGCCTTCGATGAAAAAGGCCGGGCAGGAAAATTTACAAAGTCCAGGACTTTGTGTTCCAATCCGTTGCAACACCAGAGGGCCTGGCTCAGTTTTAGTCCGGTTCCCCCCCATTTCCAATTTAGATAAACAAGTCTGAAGAACTTGACAGGTTAACCTGACCAAAGAAACTGGCAATGTTAATGTGGGGTCTTTTGGTGGGGAAGGGAAAGGAAAAGGGTGTCGCCTTCAGCCTATATTGTGTGGCTTCTTCTTAGCTACTGAGGTTCGATGGATTCTGGCCTTGATATCTATCTATCTATCTATCTATCTATCTATCTATCTATCTATCTATCTATCTATCTATCTATCTATCTATCTATCTATCTATCTATCTATCTATCCCGGGCGGCTTTGGTTGCCCGTGGCCGGCTGTGTGTTTGTATATTTGTGTGTGTGTGTGTAAATAACCTTCCAAAACAAAAAACTGGAGCTCTGAAAAGCAGAGAAGAAAACAGTATGGAGAAAACAGGGGCTCACCGCATGTTTTACAGCTCAACCGATAGGAAGTGGGACGCGGGGGGAGCTCGAAGGTTTTGCGTTTCCCCGCAATCGGGGTGGTTTTCTGCTGCGTTTTCCTCTAACCCTTTTCGGATTTCTGCGTGCAATTGCCCGAGGCAAGCTCCTCCGATTTAACAGACATGATCCTGGCTTTTCCCCTAAAGGGTATCCTCGGCTAGGCAAAACGGAGCCTTCCTTTTTCTATTTCTTAAAACTGCCAGAGTGAATGAGAAAAAGCAATGAACTGAGCTAGATCATAAGAAAAGGCCTTCTTGGGAGAAAGAACCTGACTGTCCACTTTGACCATAGATTAACCCCCTACTCTATCCCAAACCTGGAGTCCCGGAGGGCTCTAATCGAGGATCGATATTATAATAACCAATTATTCCCTTACTTCCCCCATTAGGTGTAAGGGTCTTTGCAAAGGAAGGCAATTTAATTTTGACATACACTTATTATAAAATTTCTGAAACTATGCCTTTGCAGACAAGAAACTGCTTTGCAGGAATTATCGTAGAAAACCAACATGCCCGCTTAGAGATCACCTAAAAGCAGAGAAAGGGAAGGCCCTGCGATATGTTACATTTTCAAGGATGTTTGCCAGATTAAGTGAGATATCTTGTTTTCTCTTCTAATACTTCTTCTCATCTTTCTAAATCGAGTGTTTGTTTATTTAGAATTTAGCTGAATCGAGATAAGGAGAACCTGGGGTGTCTCCCATATTATAACACACGACTTCATTTGGCTTCTGGGGGTGGGGTGGGGGGGGAGAAAGCTGAAAGAAAATATATCTTGTTCCCCTTCACTTAAAGTCGGCTGAATTGGAATGTGTCTGCCTGTGACCAAAAGAAATCAGGCAAGTAGAGATGGGAGAAATTAAGGAGAAATACACATCCCGCGCCCCATCATTTTCTGTTCTTCTGAAAGAAAGGCGGATCTTCCGGTGTGTAGATTTCTGCCCCTGCCAAGTGCAGCCCAGGCTTTTGCAGGCTTATTCTAAAGAGAATTTAATTGCGTTCCAAGCTACTGGCTTCTAAGCCAAAGGTGCCTAGAGCTGCAGAGCTGAGAGAGTGTCCCGAAAGTTGATCCAACAGGGCCTGTGGGTTGCTGTAATCAAGACCTGGAGGCTGTAAGTTGCAGGGTCTTGGGTCAGTAAGATTGGGTCCTCCACACAACCCCCCCCCCGTCATACAGTCTCAGTCTCAATCTCTCTCTCTCTCTTTGATTTTTAAGAAATTAGATTTCTCTATGAGAAATAGTGGCAAGAAGGTATTTAAGTCATGGATCGGCTCAAAAACTATGTAATCTCGGGAAATGTTAACCCCCCGTTTGAGATCATAGACTAGGATTTTTCCCATCAATTTGGTGGGAGTTGGGTTCCTCTAACAATGACTGGCCTGTAAGGGTAAAACACTGTTGAAAGAGCGGAGAACAAGATTGTCCAAACATTCCTATCCCCTTAAGAGATCCGATTTTAAGTTGTTTTAGACGATTTTTAAAAAAAATGTATGTTGGTATTAATGGGTTTGAAGAGACCATTCCATTTATTCTGCTGTAAATACGCTGACTGAAGTGAGACTGACAGGTGCCATAGTTAAACGGATTAAATTTGCTGCATCTAGAGATACCACTATGACCTGTCCATTCTAAGTTGGATTCTTTACAGAGAGTTGCAGAATTCCGTGGGCAGGAATTCACGAATGGTTAACAGTTTCGGTTATTAGGTGGAATTCTTGTCATTTTCAAAATAAAAATTTCACTTCCAAGTTCAGTGAGACTTGTTTCTAAATAGATATAGGCTTGGACTCTTAAAATATATGTATACCTATAGGTAACAAACATTATACCGGGAGCTAGGTATTTCATAATTTCCTTTGTAAATTAAAATTAGAAGGGAGAACATGATCAATAGAACGTTACAACATATACACGTGCGAAGGCCAGGAAGATGCTTGCAATTTTGGCTGGCCTTTAATTAAAATATGAAGGTCAACTTATCTATGATATCGAGTTTGATATACACCCACGCAGAGTGCTGTCTCTGTGTGTGTGTGTGTGTGAGAGAGAGAGAGAGAGAGAGAGAGATTAAGGTAAATATGTATGAGATTATTATTAGAAACATCGGATACTTCTCTCAGGTACACATCGCCATTCACAGTTCCGTGTGAGCCCTGCGCTGGTTTTGCTTCGCTTATCGCTTCCGTTGCAAATTTTATTACCTGGAAGAAGATGAAAAGGATGCTTACTCCCCAACGCCACAGTTTTCAGCCCTGGGCCTTGTTGCTTCCCAAGTAGATGGTGTTACAAGTTTGCCAACCCTGCGTTTCGGCTTCTCTCGTTGTGGGTCAATTTTGTTTCAGAGGCAGGTTCGCCGTCCAATTTGGGTGGCGCCTCGAGCAAAATGCTCATTTGCAGCCGCGCTCCTCTTTAGCCTCGGGAAGGGAAGGGTAGCCCCAGGAATTCCCTCTGACAGAAATCCCTTGATGGGGCGTTCTCGTGCACGTGTCTCCCACGGAACTCAAGGAGCCTGCATCAGGTTGCAACCCCACTTTTGCAAATTGATGTGAAAACGAATCCCTTGGCCATGCAAGATGCTCACTTCCGAGCAAGCGTTCAAGAGGAAGCGAAGGGCTAGAGATGTCCCCTCCTCGCGCTCCGTCCCTCCCCTTCACCCTGATTTTATTAAGTCGAACGGAGAGAAATGTTTTCAATTGGTGGTGGATCATTAGTGATCTCTCTTCTTCTCCGCTCCAACCTTTCTCCTCGTCTTGCCGCCTCTCCTAACAGGTGTTGAAGAGATAGCCGAATCTTTCCCACTTCAATCCACCGCCCACTTCATCTTGGACTTCAGCTCCCATCTTCCCTAGCCGGAAAGGCCCAGGGAATTCTGGGAGCTGAAGTGCCTCTACAAAGAAATTCTGGAAGTGAATCCTGCAATTAAAGAAACCCAACAATTAAAAGTGTGAGAGGGGGTGTGTGGGAGTTTGTGTTAGGTGGGTGGGTATCCGTGCACGCGCATGCTTCTTTCCACGTTTCCGCGCCCAGTCCTAATTAAATCTTTACGATTCTCTCTGTGACTATTAACTGCCAGCATGCTGCGCGAATATCCTGTACAAAAACCCAGCAGGCGGCCGTAATTAGATAGAAAATCAGACAAGACTCTTCTCATTAACTACAACAGATCAACCACATTGTGGAGTGGGGGAGAGGGGAGTCGGGAAGGAGCGGAGGTCGTGTGGAACCCTTGTCCGAAGTTGGCACCACTCATCTGCCTTCCATCTCCGCAAAGATGGAAGGATGTTAGTATAGTGAACCCAAACCCAAATAATGCCAAATTAGTAGATTCGCATTAAATTCTGTCCTGGAAGAAAATGAACAGGCAGTTGAAAACCCATCCTCTTCCTCAAACACTACCGGCATAAAGTAAACCTACCAATGAAGAAAGTGGGATCTTGTTTGGACAACTGTGGGTCTTCGGAGAGCCACTATAGGACTGCTGAGCCACTGAAACTCTTTTTACATTCTTAAAAGCTCACCTGAAACTATAAAAGGGAGGAGGGGGAAGGAGCATGGCAACACTTTATCTTTCATCACTTTATGGGAGCTTCTAACTTCCTCCCAGCGGAGAGGTTGCGGTAGGCAAGGTTTTCCCCCAGATTTAATAACACTGCAGATGCAAGAACTACTGGTGAGGTTCACCCATCACACTCTGACTGAGTGCTGGGGATGGGATGTGGTGTTCCGGCTGAGTTTAGGGGTCAGTGTAGGATGCGAACCCCATGTGACGAGCAGCTATATAAATGGAAGGAAGTTTATGACACATTCCTTCTGTCATGCCGATGTGCCACTGCCAAGAAAAGCCACAAAGTAAAATGTGGCCCAAGATCACAACCTCTCTGAAGGCAGTGAATCTTCCAGAGGGGGTGCGGGGATGAGTCTTTGTCATTGGAGGTGGAGGAAGGATGCTTGGAATTCTGGTCTGTTCAATCTGTCATGCCTGCTTACAGGTCAATGTGTTTAGGACTAAATTATAAGTGACTGGACCTGGGTGATGCAGAAAACCTTGAATTGGCATGGAGTGGTGGCTGCCAGCCAAATGGAGAGTCAGAAATGTCAGTCGTGGTTTAGGGCACAAGGTGCCTAGAACCATACTTGGCCTTTTAGTGGCTCAGCCCCAAAACTCTGGAATGGGTTGATTTCATAGATATGTTCAGTTTCCAGTTCTATGTTGAATCTTGTTCCTTGACTATCATGCATAATTATTGGGAGTCCTGCTCAAAGCTTTCTCTGAAGCTCTGGAGCAACTGAATGAGCCTAGGCTCTTGGAGAAACAAAGTTAATTCCTTGGATTTCAGCTGTCCTCTTCTGAAATAGGACTGTGGTTACTCAAGACATTTAATTGAACAATGGTTTACTCAACACTATTTTCTGAATTTCTAAGATGCACTGAATTCATTACCATGGTTGGCTTCACACAATGCCTTGATCTAAAATATATTAACCATTTTTGAGATAATGGGCAGTGCGAGACAGCCTATAACTTTTATAAAACCACCACCTAAATTGATGTAAACTTAAGGGAACTTAATATTTAACTTAGGCTGAGAAACAGAAGAGAAAGAGTGTGACCAGATCATGTTCTTGCCATCTATTAGAAAGTGGGGAATGATATACGCTAGTTCCATATGGCCTTTCTATTTGTTCTTCTTTATCACTGAGCCACGATAGCTAATTTGTTTATTTAATGGCAGAGAAAACAGGGAACCTGCTTCTGAAATCAAGACTCTCTGTTGATAAACCGAGGCAGATTCCGGCTGGCTGGGTTCATACAATTGTAGCAGGAAATGTTTCTGATACAAATGGGAGGGGCTTAATTGATTGCGGCGGGTGGGGGGGGGGAATCCCCTGCTCCTTTCAAGATGCTTCTGTCCACTGTGAGTTGCTACATGTAAGGAGCTGCAATTATCATTCAGGAGAATGTCAAGAGCACAGCCCCATTGCTTACCAGCAGAAGCCCCCTCGTTCCATAGGACTGGTTCCTAAGCCGTTGCACCTTCGTATGGTGCAACGGTTGCATCTGCCAATATAGAAAGGACACCTCCCCAAAAGGATGCTCTTCAGAAATGTTTGAAAGCATTTCATCAAAAGGCATGAGCTTTATTTGAGCTGCACGTCATGAAAGCTAATGACCTTTAATAAAATGTATTGGGCAGAAAAGATGCTGTCACTCTTGATTTTTTTTGCCACCTTACACTAACAAGGCTCTCCCCCTACAATGTCCAAAAATGTGAGTCTCCTATCATCCCCACTGACTAGTGATTAATCAGAGTTACCATTCTTTGATTTGCATTCTAAGCATACCAGATACAGATTTATTAGCCTTTGGTAAATAACAAAGCTCAGGCTACCTAAATCAATATTAAAATTAAGCCTCATTGGAGCTCTAATTCCTTTTTTGTATACATGGCAGTTCCCTGTTGAGGGCCTCTTGCTTCCTTGTCCACAGGTAGCAGCCACGAGGTAGTAAGGAAACTCCTACGTCAAAAGTAAAAGTTGCCCTTATAGGGAGAGTGATAATTATGCCAGTCAGTTACTACTCCTATCCCATCTATTCTTTGTTCCCTCTCAAACTCCAGAAGGGCTGGAGTCCAACTGTACAGAAATAAATAAAAGCTGAAATCACCTCTTTACTCCCACTCCGTGTGGCTAAGTGTCATAATGTATATTTGAGACCTGCCACAATTCGTTTTCTTTGCACTGCCTTCTATGTCATTATAACTTCTCTTCCTCTCCCTCTCTTCTCATCCATTGAAGTCAATTGTCCCACAAAAGGGAGTGTGGCAATAAAATGCTGAAATAACTCTGGAAATAATATTTTATTTGTTCAGTTATCTGCTTTAAATGAAAAAAAAAACTTAAATGCTCGATCATGTTAAATACTGAACTGTGTTTGGGGTGGTGCCCCTCCTCCAATCAGTAATTCTTGAAGTTGGTGGACTGGAGGGAGTTAGGTAACTTTTATGTAAGTTTGTTGTAATTTGGTTGATTTCAAGATCTAAATCCATTTCCAACATCCATCAGAGACTCAGCGGCATATTTTGTGCAATAAATCTATATTGATCTTTATAAGGAGGAATGCAGAGAGTCCCTTGTTTATTTTCTCCCAGAGCAAAACTCTGTACCTATTTTCTTGGGACAAGCCCTACTGAGCACAGGGAACTCCAATAAAAGCTAGGTCAGAAGGGAAGTAGATAAACAGCAATAAATTCAAGAGTTTTCTTGCCGTGCAAACTTCCACCCACTGCTAATTTCTTGTCGCCCGTCAAAAGTTTAGTTGCAGGTGTCAGTGGGCTGCACATATACCAGAGCCAAAATTGTAAGGCTCGGGGAATACAGGCTGAGCACCATGGATAAGTTATTTGGCCTCTTAAATCATTAGACGGATCACGCCTTACCTTTTCTGTTCACCCCAAATCCCCTAAGAAAAGGAAGCTTCATTTTCATACATGGGGAAAAAGTATATTTCCCCAATTAATTGTTCTTCGTGGAAATAATGAGGGTTCATTAATGAATTTGAGATGGTGTGGGACTTTGTCCAGCTCTATGCGCTTCTTTGTTCTTTTGCTAAGTGCTGGGAAATTTGAATAGTGATTTTTCCTCTCTTTCTCCCGCTCTGTCCTTAGGCAGTAGAAGATGCTAATAACAGCGGCATGAACTTGCTGGACCAGTCGGTCATCAAAAAAGGTATGGGTAACTTTTCAATTGTTGCAGTTTGTTGAGTATTTGTGGGCACTTTACGCAGGTAATTTCAGGCCTACTTGGAAGTAAGCTTTACGAGGGGCTTTCTTCCAGGTAGCGTTGAGGATGGGATTGTGTGCTTTTTATACAGAGAAAGCTATTCAAGGTTCCAGAAAGGAAAGTCCTTGTGTCCGGATTCGATTCAATATTTGCAACATAGCGGTACCATTCTGAAGCACTGTAATCAGGAGCAGGAAGTAGAGGTACTGAACGAAGCAGCCAATTGGCTGGAATCTTGCCCACACTGCTTGCGTGAAGCTTTCTCTCTAGTTCTAGGAAATAACTTCCCCTCTTTGCTCATCGTCGTTGTGGGAATTAGCTCAGCGTCACCTGCAAGAGACCGAATTCTTGACTTGGGTGCTTTTGGTTTTGCTGGAGCTTCTTTCCAAGCAATATTTAGGGGTTGTGTGAAAGGAGCAGAATCTGCTTCCAAGGAGGATGGATGATTTCCAGGGTGGATGAAAATCTGCCCTGTTGTTTAAGCTTAGCTCCTGGTAAACGGGGGGTGGGGGGTGGGGGGAGGAGGAGAGAGGGAGTTTAGCTTTTATTTGAAAGCTGGGGATTCCACCTCTCTTGTGCGCATGTACCTATATCTAGGTAGAAAAGATTTGATCCACCCCCAGAGCATAAGGGAGTGCCTTTGGGAGTGCAGTAAGGGTACACTCTCTTCTGTATAAGCAGGCAGGAGATGGGCCGCGGAGGCGGGGGGTCGTCGGTCTTCCTTGGCGATATGTTGGATTTTTTTTTAGCCGGCCATTACTTGTGGGCCAGAATGAGGGGACCGAGCCTCTCTGTTCAGGAGGAAAAGGCGAGGAGAGGGGGATTCCCCCCGCGCTCCATTTGTCTACACAGGCAATACGTGATTTAGTGTAAGTGTGCGGCTTCGCCCTACTCTAGTAGAGGGAACGTGATCTTAACAAATGTTTGCAATCTCTTGTACAGCTGTAAGCAAAATAATTAACTAATTAAACTAATTAAATGTAATTACAATAACTCATTTTGGGCGTATTGCAGCTGCTTCATGCCCCCTCCTTCCCGTTTTGAATTTCTTTGACAGGCTCGGGGAGAGACACGCCCCCTCCCCGCGCAAAGCTGCTGAAGGAGGGAAGGAGCGAGCTTTAATTAGCAGCGGAAAGGCGCGCTTGAAATTCAGCTGGTCCCTCCGAGAAGGGGGGAAAGCTCATTCCTTGTTATCTCTGTGCTTTCCCGCAATAGGAACCACCTTATCCGAACCAATGGGACTTTTCCTCACTTAGAATGCTTGTTTGAGAACAAATCAAGCAGCTCTCGGGATTTGGACCAGTTCGAGTCCTCCACACACACCCCCCACGCCCTTCCGACCCTCGGGTGGAATTAGGACCTGGTCTTGTCTCACGCGTGGGCTCCGCAGGCTGACTTGGATGGCTCCAGAAGCTTGGGATCCGACTGGGTTTAGTCCTGCCCAAAGTCCGCGTAGGCGCAGGCAACTCGCTCTGCTACGGGCCACCTGTCGTAAGATCCCACTGACCTCCCCAGGCTTAAACTTGGGATCTAGTTTTCTCGCCAGTTTTGAAACCAACCTTCCAGGAGAGTTTACATAGAACGCCTGCTTAATAAGAGGCGTTGTTCTGGAAAGGCGAGGCAGAATTTGGAAAATAAATACACCAATTCAGGAACGCTTGACACAAGTATCTCCATTCTTTTCAGACCCTTAAGTAAATGAGAGTTGGGCAAGAAGCAGAATGGGGAAGAACCAGCGGTGATGTCACCCAGCTGCTGCTTGCTACCCTGATACAGCCTTCAAAAATTGAAACTGATTTCTGCTCATGTACTCAATAATTCAATCTAGATACCGTTGCTTGAACAGAAAGCGCAATCCGAAGTATCTTCCCCCATGAACGCTAAGGGTGTTTAGGATTGGAAAATTGGCCCTTGAGGCATTTTCTTAGAAGTGATTTATAGCATCGCCCTAACTATCGGTGTGGCCACAGAAGCCTGCCTTCATTATTCTGTCGGCCCCGCGATGGGTGGATAACGCTGTAAATCACGAGTGAAGAAATGGCCTTGGTGGAGCTTACTTTGGAATAAATAGTCTAGGAATAAGAGTGTTTATCGGACATCTGTTTCGCTGAAAGCCTCTGGGTTTCATTTCCAGGTGAATAAGTTTATTATTCTCGTCTTGAAATGTATTAACTATTCTTTATAATACCTCCTGGGAAGGTAACTCCTTCTCTAGCTTGAGAACTTCCGTCATCCGGACGCTACCTAACCACCTTCCAGGCTCTATTATCCACTAAATCTCGGGTCGTGGGATTTTTAACTTGGTTAACTGAACAGTAACTTGTCCAATGAATTAACTATGTTCAGGTTCGCACGACACATTTGGCTAAAATACCTTGGTTAGTTTACGGTTCTTCTGTTTCGTTGCTTTTGGGCGTTTACTGCAACCAAGTGGAGCCTCCCTGTCGGATTTGCCTCCCGTGGCATTTTTCTCTCCCATCAGCTGAATCCATAGGGAATAGAGTTGACTCCTGTGTTACCCAGACTTCTCCCGGTTTTCCTAGCACAAAAATATTCTTGTGACCAAGATGCTCTAAAGAGATAAATTATGAAATATAAATAACCCATCCCTTAGAGCCTTGTTTTTATGAGCACTGAGGCCTTTAAAACGGGGGTCTCCAACCTTGGCAACTTTAAGCCTGGCGGACTTCAACTCCCAGAATCCCAGTAAAGCTGGCTGGGGAATTCTGGGAGTTGAAGTCCGCGGGGCTTAAAGTTGCCAAGGTTGGAGACCCCTGCTCTAAAAGCAATGGCAATATCTGCCATTTTTTATTGCTTCTTTGGTCTCGGAATGTGTGGCCCTCCTTTCTCTCCCAGATCGCTTTTTCTACATTTTAACAGCCCCCCACTTCCTTTCCTCCTTCAGTTATCCACTTCTTCCTTTGTCTCCCAGATTAAAAAATATACAGCTAACCGGGTTAAAATTCAAGTAGAAGTTTAAGATAGCAACCTGTCCTGTAATCGGAGCAACAATAGTTCATATGTTACATTCTACCAGCCACCACACACCCAAATCTCTCAAGCACAGCTCCATTTCAAGAGGGACAGCTCACTCGTGGCTGTCTTGGCACAAAGTGATCTATTAATCATGGTTAACAAACCTCAGTGGTGGTGTTTAGTACTGTACTGTTTTCATTTAGCGTGCTCTTATATCTGAGCCCAGTACAAGATCTATTTTGCCTGACACAGCAGCCCTGCGAGGTAGACAGCTGAGAAAATGTGACTGGCCCAAAATCAGTTAAATGGCTGATGTCTCCCCAGTCACAATCTAATATCTTCTACCATCGCCAGCAATAATAATTATTTTGCATGCTTTGCACAATTTGCTAAGTCACAATGAACAACATGGTAAATTTGGTTCCCAAACGTTTAATCGTTGGGTTTTAGTTTAGCCAATGCGGTTTGTAAACCACGGCTTATCAGATTGCGTGAACCCAGCCACCAAGTACGGCAGGACACTTGAGAGAGGGCCTTACGCACGAAGAACAGGCGATCCGGATCGAAATACTAATTTTCTGCATTCTGCTTCAAAATAAAAATTGCCTTTTTCCGTGCCATCCAAAATTCAGCTGTCTAGAAGTTTATTCCTGCCACGCCCTCCTCAGACTTTATAGCAGACGATTAAGCTATAGGGACTCTTTCCTAATAAATCCATGCTAAATGACACTGATTTTTCCGTGTTTTAAGACTTGGTCTTGCGGAGTCCTCTTAGGGCTTCTCTCTCTCTCTCTCTCTCTCTCTCTCTCTGGAAAAAAAAAGGTGGGTTCGTTGACTCTATTTTTTGCATCGCTGCCGGGTTGAGATGCAATATGACGCGGCTGCGCAGCCCTCTCTTCACCACCACCATCCCACGCCCCCTCCCGGTCTGGTGATGTTTGCGATACGGGCTTCCTTGACATTTCTGAAGTAATTTAGTTAAGGGGAAATGAGTTGTTCCCAGTAGAGAGAGCAAACGAATGGAGGGGAGGTAGCCAGCGTGATAAACGGCGCTTTCATTTGGAGATCTCCAGAGCTCGTTTAAGGCTCATTTTCTGTATTAGCCCCCTTTGAGCTATTAAGGCACCAGGCGGCGAGCGTGACTCCTCGGCTCGGGGCGGCCCCGCCAGGAAAGCTCCCGCAGAGCACCTGAGCTGATCCCAGGCCACCGGACTGGAGGAGAAGAGCGGCTGGCTCTGTCTTGGGGGAGGAAGACACCCACCCTTCTCTTAATCTAAAGTGGCGAAGGGGGGTTAATACGATTTGGAGGGGGCTGGTCAATGAGCAATCAATAAAGTAATAATGAGAGGGACGCGCTACATTAGCAGGCTAGAAATCCAACGAGACATTAAAGAATCATTCGGAATTCTCGTCGCTACCGTATTAAGGCGGACGGCTCGGCGAGGGGCTAATGGCTGTCCCCAGAAAGAGAGGCACCCAAACCCCTGAGCCAAAGCTGACCGCGACGGGGGGTGCGGTTCTAGGGCGGCTTCCCCCCTGCCTGAAGAGGGAAGTGTGTGTGTGTGTGTGTGTTTCCTATTGGGTTTAATAGTTTATGCAAATCCCGTCTTGGTGGCCTGTAAAAAAAAATAAAATCATAGCTGGTGGTTTAGATATTGTGTGAACTCAGGCAACCTTGCTTTAGTCGGTAAGCTAAGGAAGCCCCGGCTCGGTGTGATGCCAGACCCCGATCGCAGATATTTTAATTTGCATGGCTTGTGGAACGAAGTTTGCAGAGGTTCTCTCCGAGAGAGAAAAAGGGGTATTTAGTAGCTTCACCCAATCAGAGTGGGGGAAAAAAGAGATTCCTGCCAGCCTTTACGTGACTTGGCTTCACATACTTTCCAATGGTGCTTACTTCTGAGTAAGCATGTTTTCCAGCCCTGCACCCTCATGAGTCGTTAATAAGTAACTAATTCCCTTAAACTAAT